AGATCCGCTGAGCCCGGATCTGGGCGTGTCTTTTGGCCGTGTCGGTACCTCCCAACGCGGTTGTCAGGGTTTGCGTCGTCTTCTTTGAAGCTTTCTTCTGGGGTTTTGTTGTGTCTATCACACCGGGTGCCTGGAAGACTGAATGAGACAATGATTAGACGTTGCAGATACTTGAACCCATACTTGTGGTGCTTCTGTGCCCTCTGCACCTCAGTTACCACCGCCATCACGCGGTTCTCCCCCCGCGGGGTACCTACTGGGTACCCTCAGACGTCTTGCTGAGGGTACCCAGTAGGTACCCCCTGGCGGGGGGTGGGGGGGCCATTTAGTCGATTTAGTAGCGGGGGCATATGCGGGGGTCAGGAGGAGGGGGGGTGTATGTAGCATGTGACTTGTCCATAAGAGCGGGTAGCTGGGCGGGAAAAAAAAATCCAATCACATGACGCGCTGCATGGGCGGGATGGCGGGATAAAAAAATCACGTGATGCGCTGCACCAAATATTACCAAAATGCTGGCAGGGGTTGGCGGCGTCATTGGCGGGGTCACTACCACCCCCCCGCACACCATGGCGGGCAGTGGGCGCATTATCACGTGACTTTTTGGGCGCCTTTTTTGCAGCATTTGGCATGATTTTGGAAATGCTGCTTGATACATTGCATGCTGTGGCAGACAATGGGCGCAAAATCACGTGATTTTCCGCCAAAAAAATGGAAGACTCCCCAAATCATCCCAGTATAATTTCCATAGGTAAATAGGCTAGTTAAACATGAACTTGAGCTTAGAAAAACCAAAATGCACCCTGCACAATGGGATTGGTGACACACTTGATCCCATCATTTGGCAGGGCCTGCCGCAGGGGCTGCCGCGGGGGGTGCCGCAGGGGGTGCCGCGGGGGGTGATGCGGGGGCTGCCCTAGGGTTGGTCTGTTATGATCCATTTTTGTTCATTGAAGATCTTGTAGAGGTGAGCAGGGCAACAGGCCAACTGGGAATTTATAGGAAGACATTGAAATTGATGCAGGGGTCAGATGCGGGGCCCACTGCAAGGTCTACTGCAGGGGCAGGGGTGCATTATATCAAATTTCGATGTATCTATTCTGGCCATGGCCATAGAATGTCACATAATTATCCTTCAATTTGGCAGGGGTTTCTTGGTATGGTCTGCAGCTAAAGATATTTGATTCCCTTGTGCTTTAGCAGAGCCTGGGATATTGAAAACATGCAATAGCACCTGTATAATCTGTCTATGTAGGGTCAAATACAAGTTATAACTTGGTACATTTGGGCATGGTCTGCTCAAGCTATTAGGTCGAATTTAATGTTTGAAAAATGCGCAACTTGATTTGTTTGGCAAATCCCCCAAGGGAGTTTTCCATGTGCAGCCAAATTGATCGCCAGGAATAGCTACTGCTCCTTGTCCCTGTCTGTTTGCTTCCAATAGTCTGTCTGCTCCCAAATCTTCCTCTCCATTTTCAGGATATCTGATACAGGTGTTAGGATTGTTGATTGATGGATTTCATATTCCTTGTCTACACACCATTTAGACACTTTAATGGATGTGATAATACTGTGAACACTAACAATTGATTAGGCAGCACTTTTGTCCATCCAATCCTTGCAGGGGCTGGGGCAGGGTTGATGGTGGGGGCTGCCGCGGGGGCTGCTGCGGGGGGTGCCGCGGGGGGTGCCCAAGCCTCTGCCAGCCTACCCAATGTGGATCAACTACAGGATCACTTTCCAAAGCTTCTGTACTGCAACCCGAGTGACTTCCAGGTTACCTTTACCCAATTCCAGTGACACAACTTGCCTGCTCTTGTTTCTGGCCGACAATTGATTTTATAAGCTTGAGTGTGTATGTGCACTTTTTGGTGGGAAAGGAGGCCATTTGGTGAGGGGCAGGGCACCGAAACATTGTCAAATACCACATTAAACATGACCAGTGGCTTACATCTCTTCAAACTGGCCCCTATCTCATGTTTATCAAGACCCTATTTTTCGGACCCATTTCAAGTTTTTGAATGGTTCCAGGGTCCAGGGCTCTCAGAATTTGTTTCAGACACTGCCAAGGGGTATATCATTCAGCTGTATTGAGTTGTTCATTTGTAGAAAATATATTTTTTGCAATACCCAAAGTGAACTATGTTGAACCATTATCTATGTAGGAACCTTGAGCAACTGTGAACTGTTTTCATGTTTCGAATTTTGGATGGACAAATGATATGAAATACCTACATATTCAACAAGAACAGCATAGGGAGACCTTATTCCGATGGTTTTCAGCTGCATAACTGTAGAAACAGTGTCAGAAGAGCAGGAAACACTTAGGTACGACGTTTATACAGGTTCTGATTGGCTGGTGACTTGACGTGTTCCGAGCTGTCAGATTATGTAATCTTACATATGAGAAGATGGCAGGGGCAAGGCACCGGTGCAGCGGGGGGTGTGGCAGGGGGTGTCAGCCTGGCGGGGGTGCATGCGGGGGTGCAGTGGGGGGTGCCAGTTTGGCGGGGGGTGCCTGCAGGGGTGCCAGTGGGGGTGCAGGTAGAGTTGCAGGCAGTGAGTTATGGCAAGAACGTATACAGTCCCAGTAGCAAAAGCAATCATGTATGTTTCTGCAGTTTGTCTTGCAAGTATCCAAGCTCTAAGTGGAAAGAATTTTGTATATGAAATCTGAATTCATGCTCAATCTCTGGCTATTGTGAGACAACTTATTAGTGAGTTAGTTCATCCTCTTATATACGACCCAGGAATGAATTGAGGGCATGTCAAATCCGCTATGTTCCATCTGTTCATGTTGCAGCTTGAGAAAATCATTTGCAAAGCATCACAGAACTTCTGATTTTCAATGAGTCCCAGTCAGGAAGTGAGACATTCAATGTGTACTTGACATGTGGTACAATGTGCCGCAGGGTAAGATTACACTGTGCTAACAGTGTGAACAATTGACTAATAGCCATGTATGTAGAATGAGCGCACCAAAAAATCAATGAGATGACAGTGGACCCAGTGCAGCCAACCTACCCACCCTGCCGGTCAACACATGAACAAATCATAACTTGTATTTGACCCTACATAAACAGATTATACAGGTGCTATTGCATGTTTTCAATATCCCAGGCTCTGCTAAAGCACAAGGGAATCAAATATCTTTAGCTGCAGACCATACCAAGAAACCCCTGCCAAATTGAAGGATAATTATGTGACATTCTATGGCCATGGCCAGAATAGATACATCGAAATTTGATATAATGCACCCCTGCCCCTGCAGTAGACCTTGCAGTGGGCCCCGCATCTGACCCCTGCATCAATTTCAATGTCTTCCTATAAATTCCCAGTTGGCCTGTTGCCCTGCTCACCTCTACAAGATCTTCAATGAACAAAAATGGATCATAACAGACCAACCCTGGGGCAGCCCCCGCATCACCCCCCGCGGCACCCCCTGCGGCACCCCCCGCGGCAGCCCCTGCGGCAGGCCCTGCCAAATGATGGGATCAAGTGTGTCACCAATCCCATTGTGCAGGGTGCATTTTGGTTTTTCTAAGCTCAAGTTCATGTTTAACTAGCCTATTTACCTATGGAAATTATACTGGGATGATTTGGGGAGTCTTCCATTTTTTTGGCGGAAAATCACGTGATTTTGCGCCCATTGTCTGCCACAGCATGCAATGTATCAAGCAGCATTTCCAAAATCATGCCAAATGCTGCAAAAAAGGCGCCCAAAAAGTCACGTGATAATGCGCCCACTGCCCGCCATGGTGTGCGGGGGGGTGGTAGTGACCCCGCCAATGACGCCGCCAACCCCTGCCAGCATTTTGGTAATATTTGGTGCAGCGCATCACGTGATTTTTTTATCCCGCCATCCCGCCCATGCAGCGCGTCATGTGATTGGATTTTTTTTTCCCGCCCAGCTACCCGCTCTTATGGACAAGTCACATGCTACATACACCCCCCCTCCTCCTGACCCCCGCATATGCCCCCGCTACTAAATCGACTAAATGGCCCCCCCACCCCCCGCCAGGGGGTACCTACTGGGTACCCTCAGCAAGACGTCTGAGGGTACCCAGTAGGTACCCCGCGGGGGGAGAACCGCGTGATGGCGGTGGTAACTGAGGTGGCCCTCTGCCAGCGCTTCGTTCACGGCATCAACGTGACTTGACCAAGCCGCCCGTTCCGGGCTCTTTTCGGCAGTATGTGTCTCAATGGCACGTAAGAAATCAGGAATGCCGTAGCTATCATCCTCGAGAAAGGCCTTCCGAGCTGTCATCAGACTGCCCAGGTCTTCTGGGGAGAGCGGCATGGTGATCGATGCAAGTCAGAAACAGTTCCGTCGCTTTCCGAAATGTGATACTTCAGGACCAATCGTTATCGATGGCTAATGTTCTTTTCATATCGGAAGAAAGATCGGACAAATTTGCAATTATTAGCAATTCATAGCACGTGATTCCGCGTCCTGATCTGCTAGGTTGCTATATAGCATGCCAAATATGTGCTAAATATTATTTGCTACGAACTAATTCATAGCTAGCCCAGCACTAGTAGACGGCCGCACAACGCACAAATTTTACGTTCCCGGAGATAGCCACATCTGCCTTCCGAACATGGCCTCGTCGCAGATCTCAGGCCATACGATTTACACGCTGAATATCTGTCGTCCTTGCCCAGCAGCTTACAAGTTGAGATGCATCAGATCAGATCGTCAAGTCTTGCTTCGATATGACAAGCCACGTCTCCCCTCGAGATAAACTGAGGCATGGGAATACGACTGACGGCCATAAGCGCTGAGATCAGGAGCAGCTACTGAGTTAGATAAGTTCGCGACATATTTGTGAATGCGACATATATGGGAATTCAACTTGGAAAAAGCGGCTTCCGTCGTTGAGGTTTCACCGAGCCCTGAAAAATCCAAATCGCAACCTATTGGGCTCGGGACACTTCGTCTTTTTCCATCATCACTCCAAGCAGAAAATATCGGTTAGACTATTCGCTGGGTGCATGGTTATGTTGCCGTCACGCTCCGGACGACCCCATCGTAGATTTTACCGTTTCGTAGACGACCATCGCGTCCCAATCCGTGGTCCTTGCCAAGAAACACCCTCGTGCTTCCCTGTTATGTGAGGCTGATCTCGTTTCTGAGCCGTTGGCGAATTTCCCATTCGTTCACGCATTAGTTTTCCGCGGCTGGGATTCTCCGGCAACAACAACGATGGGCACCCCCCCGACTGTAGATCGCATCGCAGGGACGTCTGACGAACTGCGCAGCGGGACGAGATAGTCGTCATAGAGCCCAGGGCACATGCAGCAAAGTGGCCGCGTCCACCGCGCGCACGATGAGCGGGATGACCTCGCGTGGGCTTCGTCTCCTGTTCGGAAGTTCCGAATATTACGCGTCGAAGGTCGAAGCCTGTCTGTCGGGCATCGACAAGGTCATGCGCTGACGAACGGTATTCTTTCGTGCGCTCATTTCACTATCTTGCAATTCAACTTGACCGGTTTGCTTGCCGAGCTCGATCGCTCGATGTTACAAGGAATCTGGCCGGAGAGAAGACGATATGTGCGCAACTGTTACTGCGAGGATGGTGGGGGAGCCGCAATATCCACTGCTTCACGAGACGGTGTCACAGGATCGCGCGGGAAATGGCTCATCTTTGTTCAGGGTCTCATCGGATCGCTAGTCCTGTGCATGGCCGGGTACGGTGTTCAATATCAAGTCATTACGAATGCCCGCGGCAGATCCATGGGATCCATAGACATCAGAGATCGGCACTTGGTTTGACCGATCTGTCGAGGGGGTGATATCGGAGGAAATTAAGCTCGTTATCTCAGCTGATATCGGCTTTTCCAACTTGCGTAAGAGATTTATTAGGAAGGTCCCCGAATGGAGGTCATGTGACCCGTGACATCGGAGTGCCGCATCGCCCCCACTTTTCCTCGAAAACTGATGAGCGAAAATAGAGTTGCTGCGCAGCCGTTCAATTTTTGGGACTCCGGCTCGGCTATCACGAGATTGATGAGCGCATGCGTGGCGTGAGTCGCAGCTCAGTCTCTAGAAGCGATCGATTCCGGGAAAGAATCAAAGATATCATTCAAGCGGGCTGTCTAGCCTGGATGGAAAGTTGAGATGGGGCTTTGTTGCTTTCAATTCAATGCGAGGAAGATCAGTGCAGTAACTCTCTGATTATCTGTCAACGCAGATTCAGAGTCCGAGGGACCCACGTGAGACTGGGTTTTAAGCGATTCTTCCCGCGAAAAAGTCCGTTGTAGGCCCGAATGCACAGCGGACACCGTCGGCCACAAGGGGGCTGCCGTCAATGTGCACTTCCACGGCGTTCATGGCCGCATACACTCAGAGACTGGTTTGGAGCCAAACAAGAGTCATTGGATTAGGCAGCCTGTAGCTTGTCGACTCCTTACCACTCGCCTCGGACGGCAGCTGTAACATGTTCAACAAAGGAACTGACTCCGGATCAGTTCGGAATGCGCCCCGGCCCTTTCCGCTGTGGCCCACGTGAGGATTCGTAATCGGTGGTCTTTTCTCCCATGCCAGGCGTGTTGGAAATCTCACCTCACCAGGGCTCCTCCCAGATCTCTGCTCCAGCGCACAACCATACAGGGAAACTGCATTCCTGAAGCAGACTGTAGCACATGTCGCCAACTGAGGTTTCAGCTCTGGCGAAGCTTCGATGCCCAATGTAAGCCACTTCTTCTCAGCAAGTCATTCTCAATATCTCGCAGCAGCCCCCTCTTGGATAGTTCCTCAAAAATCCTGGTCCTCTGGAGCTCCTGAAATCTCGAAACTCGGTCCCAAAGTCCCTGAGAGTCGGTGGAAAGCTCCGCGGCGGACGATCCTAAGCGACTGACTGTAGGGTGCGCACCCTCTACCGATGTCCTCCCGCCCTCGGTTTCGGATCCTCATCATATCAGATGGTGATGCCCATGAGCAGCGGTGTTCTGCGTTGATTGATGGTGCATGGCTGGGAGTCTCAACCAGATGAGCAATTGATCCATACTTGGTGCAGACAGGCTTATGAGCCTTGCGAGCCAGCATTCATCCACCCCAGCACATCTTTCCCTCTCTCTTTCCGCCAATGATGAACTCGGTTGCTTCTTCCAGTTGTATCCAAAGCGCTCCAGACCTCTCAACGCGAGACTCGTCCTCGCTGATACGCCTCCCGCCAGGTGCGCGTCATCGTCCAAATCTAGGTATATACAGTTTGCTGAGGAAACTGCAGGAAACGAGCGCCAGACGCAGACGCGCAATTATACTCGCTCAGCGGCCGTGCGCACGCCAGCCCGGGTAGTCGGCCGCGGCGGCCAGGGTTCGAAACTGCGACAAGTCATCCTGACACCGCCCTCCGGCTCGACACCGTGCATCGTCATTCCAGTGCTGCTCCGAACAACGGAGGTCGTTGCTGCTGCTGCCGACGGGCCAGCCCGGATCGTCGGCAGAGGCGGGCGGGGATCTCGGCCGCGCGAGCTCGCGAATTCCGAGGCCAGACTCGGCAGTGCGCCCCGTATCCTTGGGGGAAATGTTTCCACGCCCAACATCCCGCGGCGCACCCCGGCTCCCATCGTCCCCCATCCACCCAATACGCCGATGATGTATCGGCCGGGGGGTCGAGGGGGCGCAGGCTCGCGTCCGCGCGCGATCAAGACAAAGGATCCAGCGGCGGCAGCGAGCAAGAAGCACCGTGCCTTCCGGTGGCCCATCTCGTCGATGTCGGCGTCGGCGTCGGCGTCTGCCAAGGGCAAGTCGAAGGCGCCCAGCGCGGCTGACTCGCTGGGTCTGGGACTGCAGCGTTTCGACACGATCGACACGCTTGGGAGCGCGATCGAGTTCACGTCCGGTAGCCATCTCGCGGGTGATCGCCGGATCTATCAGAACACCGTGGCGCAGGACGGATCGGCGTCGACGCTCGCGGGGCTGGGCGTCCAGCCGGCTGCTGGCAGGCTGCTGCCGAGCCAGATTTTGCGCAGTCTGGGGGGGAGCGGCGGTGCGCTGGGCAGGGCCGGCGTCGATCTTAAAGTGGTTCGGACGCGTCGGCGGGCGAGTGTTTCGACGTTTGGGAGCTCGGATCTGGGCTCGTTCGCTGCTCCATCCGAAGACACGGACTCTCTGGGGCTTGCATACAACGACGAGTACGACGACGATGACGACTTCGGTGGAGAGGCGGAAGACGACAGGGCCAGCGAGGTCTTGACATACGCGACTACCTCAGAAGACCAATCAGAGGTGCAGAGCATTGCCTCGTCGTCCCTACATCCGCTTGAGTTCGCTCATCCGGCAGAACACGATAAAAATCTGAGCTCGTGGGATCGCTCGACTGCCATGTCGCGGCGTTTCGGCACCACGCCGTCGCTTCCTCCTCTGGAGGAGTCGGAGCCATTTGTCCATTACGACGCGTCAGATATTCCAAAGCCGGAAATAGTTCATCACGAGGAGTGGACTGGGGAGTGGAATCGGTCCGATATGCAAGAGGTGATTGGAGCGTTGAGAGCGTTGAAACTTTGAAATTACAGTACATGAATTAATAGCATTTTAATTCATAATTATATTCCCAGGTGCACTGCTCAGTGTCACGCCCCCGATGAACAGGAGTAAATCATGGCGATTTCAGCGGAAAATCACGTAGGGTAATTCTAAGACAAGCGATTTTATCGATGCTTCGAATTTGCAGTGCTCTCCCGCTTGTGCGCGATCGAAGCGCCAGAAAAAATGACACCCCAGGACACATCGGATTTCCCGCAGCAATGGGTCGATCCTGTCCAACCGAGAACCAAGATCGGCCGCAAGGCTGTGGGCAGTGTCCAGCAACGATGGGATATGTGCTGCGGATTCCCAAAAATACCATCGTTCGACACATACCATTCAGTGCGATCATATGTATATGTACTAAGCGAAGGATTTGCGGACCGGGTGTTCCACAGCGTCTGGTGGAACATCCCGTGATTACATCAAAGTTGGTGCAACGACCCGTGACTCGGTGACCCCATCATGCCGGTCACCCGCCCACATTCGTTCGTTCGCCCATCGAACACACACACATGGGAAGTGAGACGAAGTCTCGGTCCCGAGCCTCTGCTATCTATCAGTGATTGAGTCCGCCGATACCCGCAGAATCGAACCCCGCGACAATCATCTCATTAATCCCACTTCTGGCGGATGTGGACCCGGAGCCAGTGGGCGGAAACATACCCGGGGCGCGTGCGTACGTACACGCTACGTGTTCTGTGCCCCCTCATCAGAGCCTCTCCCGGCAATCACGCGCGACGTGATGTCGTTGTCGTCATGCGTTGCATCGCATACTGCGGCCCCGGCCCTCGCCGCCGCAGTCTGACGATGTCCTGCGCGTCGTGGGCGCAGGTACTCATCGTGCATATCATCACCGGACTGGCAACACAAAGGCTGTGCACAGTGCCTTGGGGGAAGATGGGTCGATTCGCAAGTTCATCAATCAAGTGATCGCCATCATCTGCCTGCGCGACAGAGAATGATTCGACGCTGTTTAGATGTTCAGCAATCGCCGATGCAACCAGCGTCGATTCTGGAGCGCCTGGAGCGCCGTAATTCGAGGGCCTATGAATAGCAGGCGCTTGCCGATTGGACCGCGGGGGGGCTGCGCTCTAGGTGTGCTCAAGTAAGCATTTCTGCTGCACTCCAGGTTGCTACGCTTCCCCAGGAGCCCCGTGAGCTGTGTTGTGTCACTTCGAGACAGGAAGGTTCAATGTCACACCGAGATCTCAGTGGATCTTACACCACGGAGAAAAGCATCCGCGGTTTCCCCAATCGGGATACCTGACTCGTTTCGTCTGTGCTGGTTTCCAAATTTGAGCTATAAAGCAAGTGGCTTCTTCTCTGGATTCCTTCATTATTTTCCTCCCTCACTCATAGCCAGCGGATGAGCTATTACGGATCCGAATACGATCAGGGAGCGACCGAGGAGGATCGGCAGCGCCACGCCCAGCATCAGCAGATGGAACATTGGGCCCAGGTTGGGTACGCTACATCCAATGGACCATGGAGTCAGTGTAAGCAAAATTGAAGTGCCATGTTCTGGTGCTTCCGCAGTCCTGGGTACTGATTTGGTTCAACCCACAGATGGCTACGCCCTGCCAACCCAGCCCGTCGAAGGTGGCTACAACTCAACGTACACGTATCCCACTGGCGGGGACTTTTCTGGTTATCCAGCGCAGAGCGGATGGCAGCAACCCAGCACCACAAATCCTGTGTACAATCCACATCCACATCAGCAGCAGCAGCAACAGCAACAGCCCAGCGCACCCGCTCCACCGCCACCACAGCAAATCCAACTGGACGTGGCGCAGCCCGAGGACTACAACCACATCGACTCGGCGTCGAGCTCGTCCTCCAGCAAGAACTGCTCGCACTGCCGGACGACGACGACGCCGCTGTGGCGGCGCCATCCGATGACGCACAAGACGCTGTGCAACGCGTGCGGGCTGTACTTCATCCAGTGGGGCGCCATGCGCCCGGTCGACCTCTACGACACCTCCGGCGCAGGCGCGGGCCCGGCCGCGGGCGCGGGCGTCGACACGCGCCAGGAGTGCACCAACTGCGAGACGCGCACGGCGTCGACGTGGCGGCGGAACAAGGCGGGCGACACGGTGTGCAACGCCTGCGGCGTGTACGAGCGGACGAACGGGCGTCCGCGACCCGTGGAGCTGAGAAGTGACCGTGTCAAGCATCGCACCAGGCACTAATTGGTCTGGGCGCTGCTGACTGGTCGCGTGCTTATCTGTCCGTCCGCTGGTGCTTATTCATAGACTGGTTCGTGATAGTACTGTTATATTGAGTAATGATGGCCTGAATTCGGGTCTTTAGAGCGCAGAATTGCGCGCCACCCAGGCTAGCTATGTCGCGACTGTCCCTAGAGCAATCGCTCCGCAGTTTGAGACCGCAGTGTTCCATAAGTGTGCTACGGTCTCATCAATTATCGGCGCTGACTGATCTAATCTTATCTTCTTGAGGCTCCGGTTTCGACACGGGCTCCATAAGAATCTGTCTGGAGGATCCGCGTTTCGTGCTTCGATGAGTACAGCGCCATGCTCCGCACCTGCGTTTCACAATCCCGACGTCTCCCGGAGATCACAACGCGCATGGTGGTGGTGGTAGTGGTGGTACGACTCCATCTTGCAAGACACTGTTTAGAGTTCTTGATGATGTGGCACCAACGCTTCACAGAAATAGTAGTTGGTCCACTGAAACGCCGATCTTGGATCAAATCTCCAGATTGACTGTTACCAGACGAGTACCAGAGTGGACCGCGGGCACCGCCGATGGAGGACGCTCATTAACGGCGAATGAAATACTGACACCCACTCTCGGATCGCATCTGGTCATTCACGGACTCTTGGAGTGCTGGATATACCAGCCTACTTATCCATGGGAAAGACGGGATTCATCGAGGGATAGATGATAAGATAAGATGCCATCAGGTCAAAGCATGATGGCGATCATCACATCACGAGCTTGGGCCACCAAGTTCTGCAGTTGCCATCATCATCTGGAGGAATCCAGAATTATGCTTACACTCACGGGTCACGACTCGATTGCGACTGTGAAACACCTGGGGGACTCGCAACGTGTGTCAGCGGTAATTTTTCCCAGCCGAGCGGACGTTCGTCACTCAGTCACCACTCGACGGGAGCATCTAAGGGGGAGGGGACAACAGAGCGTTGCCCCACACGCGCTCAGGCCACTCATCTCCAGGACGACCGCGCACGCTACCCTGTCCATCGACCTTTCCACCACCATCGAAAACGCTCTCCACCAATCGCGCGCGGAGACAGAGATGGGTGGGTGGCCCACGCATGGAAACAGAGGGCCGGCCATCTTCTGTAAACATTAATAGCGCATTGTCGAGACTGGATCACACACACTCATCATCAATGTGCTACACGCCGATCCCCCATCTGAGATTCAGCGCTGCAAGGGGCTTCCACAAGCACGGACAAGAGCAATGCAGGGTCATGTCTCGCCCCCTCTGTTTCCGACGCGAGGTTCTGTTTGCCCAAGCACCCGAGTGGGCTTACGTACTCATTCTGTGTGCCCCCCCTTTCCAAAGGGAGCCATGGGAAGAAACGGCGGTCGACTGGTAGCCTGATGCCGCTTCTTCGCGTCCTGCGTAACCAGCCATGGCTGCGTTTGACTCTATTCTATTCCTGGGACCCTGGATTGATCCACCGCAGACACGATGGCGCCATTCATTGCCGTCGTCTGGGCCTGGTTTGACCACGGAGTTTTTTCCTGATCGATGCATGGACATCTCAAACTATGCAAGCGTCAGCCAGTCAGTCACCCCTGACGTCGTTCGCACGTGTTAATCGTATCAAACAAGTTCACAAGGTCGAGGCTGTCCTGTGCACAGCCATGGACTGGTGGGCCCCCCTCCGTCGGGCACGCTGAATGCTCGGATCTTGCTAATGAAATAGCCCTGCTTGCTGACTGGGCGCGAGGGGATGGGATGGGACGGGCAGCTGACAACATCGCACCCCGAAATGGAAACATCCCGAGCGGCCGCTCTGCCGAGCCGGGTGGTCACGGCGTGCGCGGGCTCCAGTGGTACATATTCCGATCTGATTCCGATGCACCACACGAATCAGGCGGGATACGTACGGTACGGGACAGTGCAGTACCACTGCCCCCGAGATGGCCGAGCGATGTTCGAGGACGGCTCGGTCGTCTTTTGAACCCAGCCTCGCTCGCCGTCGGACTTTTGGTGTGTGCGCACACGCGTCAGTCACGGGCGACGGACGACGGACGGGCGGTGAGGTCACATCGTAGATTTGGCTCATCCACCGTTGATCAAGTCGAGTCAGGGCCAAGACCCTCTGACCCCGCGCACGGGTGCTTCTGGATCATTTCTGCACCCTGGCCCATCAATAGTCCCCTCACCCGTCGACAATGCGGCAGAACGGGCGAGCATCAAGCCAGCGTTCAGTCTGTGCTTAGCAATCGGGTGTGTCAGAGTGCCGAAGTGAGGAGCGCTGACGAACAGGCGGCCTGGGGCATACGCGGGGTAAGTCAGTACGAGGTGGAGGTTCATTGGAACCGAGAGTGGACTTGGCAGGAACGGATGTTGCGTTGCATGAACGCGTCCGTCCTTCGACGGCGGACATTGAATGTCGTGAGCCTGGACCCAGCTCTGGAGTCTTGGCGCCACTGCGACGAAGCCAGGTTCAGCAGCAGCAGTCTGTCTGCTCACGAGCGGCAGTCGACAGATGCGTCTTCTGACGACGATCCCGAACGCATGTAGACGAGTTCCCGGAAGCGGGCCACAAGCGGTGTCCCGTGGGCATTCCATCCAGTGTCTGTGCGTGTGAGCTGTTGACCGAGTTCACGCCCCTTGGCCAAAGCAGAGTTCAAACGGAAACGCTGCCTAACTTCGAGCGCTCACTGTCGCGGCTACGCGGGGGTCGCGCGTGATGCCAATCCTTCGATTCCCACACTGATCCTTGTCAGATTCAGGCTCCGCTTTCGACTGATAGATCGACGTGGCTGTGTACGGTACCTTGGCCCAACCCGTCAAGCGAAGTCATGGAAGCTTTTTGGCTTGGGCTGGATTCTGAGCTAGTTTGAGCCCCCCCCGTCGTCGTCGTCCAGGAACGTGTGCGAGTTACTCTGTTTGCGAGGCGGTGTGTGTCGATGGGCGATGGCCCCTGGAGATTCAGAGTCCGTCCTCGCTGAGGTGATGCGCTCCAGTCGGCGAAACCGAGAAGTTGAATTGGGTTCTCAACTGAGATATATTAAAACTGGGTGATCTCGGAGTTGCAGACGCCGTGATTGACGAGATGCGCGTGAATTACTTTGCAGAGTTACCGGTACAAGGGGGGATTGTAAGTACATAGATGAATCGAATAGTCTACACAGCGCCTATTCGGAATGTATTTTAAAGCCATCCGAGAATTTTCGCTGCCTGTAGGTCAAGCAGAATGAGGGATCCAATAAAATAATACAGACGGAATGCAGGGCACATTATCGGGTGTGCTTGGTGCGGGGCTTGATCTTATTCCGCTTCAGGCTCAGCGGGCGCTCCTTGCCGCGCAGACGGGCGTACACGCCACAGGCGTTGCACACCTGACTGCCCTTCTTATCGCGCCGCCACACGCTAGTCTGGCGCGTCCCGCAGTGGCTGCACTTGGGGCCCGTGTACTCGGCGTCTGGGATGCGCATGATCTCGTCGTCCGGATCATCCCGGTCCGCGTCGATAAGGGCCTGCGGCCGGAGCTTCCCGCGCTGCTGCAGATACAGCCCGCACGCGTTGCACAGCGTCCGCTGCGTCGACGGGTCCCGCCGCCAGAGCGGTGTCGCCGTCGCCGCGCAGTGCGAGCACACCTTCTTCTCGTCCCCCGCGCCGCCCGCGCTCGACCGCCGCCGCGGTGTCACCAGCGGGGCCGACGTGGGATCGGGGAGCGTGGGCGGGAGGAAGTAGCCGGACGGGGAGGACGAGGACGCGGAGGATGTCGAGGACGAGTACGGCGACGGCGGGGAGTACGGCGAGTAGGCACCGCCGTGCGCACTATGCAGCGCAGGGCCATTCCACTGGTGCGGGGAGAGATGCGCGTCGTGCCACAGGGACGAGGAGGTGACCCGCTCGTAGCCTGCTCCTCCCCAGGACTCGTTGTGTGCATTACTTCCGTACGCCAAATCCGCGATATCATGGCTCCGAGAACTCGTCGGAGGCGCGTCATACATGGGAATCAGCCCGCTCAGATCGATGCTCGGCGGCTGCTGCGTGGGCGGGAACACATCGGCGACGAGCGTGGAGAGCGGTGGCAACGGGCTGTGGATGTACGAGTTGGAGTGGTTCGACGACGAGGATGGGGTGGCGGATGCTGGGCGACTGTACACGCCGTGGTTCGTGTACGCGCCGTAATGTGACGGCGAGGGCTCTGCCGGGCGATGGCCTGGACAGACACCGACGTTAGATTGAGCAGGAGATAATGGATACCCAGCCCGCGCACCTTGTCCCCAATATGATCGTGGCATGGACCCGCTGTTGGATCGAGGAGGGTGGGCCGAGAGCAGACCGTGAGGTTCTGCATCGCCAGGAAGAGAGCTGAACAATAGACTTGGGAGGGTCATTGGGACGTAAGTCGACGCGTCTGTGCGTTCGGGGGGTACACAGAGAACAAAAGAATAAAAGCGCGTCCTGTTTCAGAGGGAGTGCTTATATCCCAGGGCCACCTGCCGTGGCGACCATATGCTTCCTGATTGGCGCATAACACGAGGGCTGATCGAGATTTGATCGGCTATCCCCATTTGACTTCCCTGACTCCGCGCGGCTGATCAAGACCTGACATGTCAAGAAAGCCGCTACCGACGGAAACAACCCCCCGGGTCGGGCGAGTTTTGGTTCCATGGTGGCAGAAAAGGTCGACCCCCGGAATTTAGATAAGCTGACGCTGAAGTGCAGACTGGAGCAGGTCTGACGGCGCTTCTGGTGTGTCCAGGGACTGCTGCATCGTTCAAAATATGATCAGGTGTCCAAATTCACTCACCGAGTCTGGGAACGACGAAACCGGCCAGGAACGAGAGGGACAGTATTCTTGGGCTCCGAGGATGTCTGAAGCTGACATGCTCCCATCTCCAACCTTCATCAATCAAGGTTCTCCCGTGTTTGAATGTCTGATGGGGACGCTGGAACGAAGCCCAACAGCTTCATCTCGGGATTCAATCACCACCTCACCGTGATGCAACCTTACAATGGAAAACAACCACAACGAGTCGTCTGATCCGCAGAGCGACCGGCTGCTTATTCTCGTTTTATCCGTCAGCCGACTTTGGCGCCTCCGTGTGAGCACAGGTCCACAAAAAGACTACATCTGCGGGGAGGCATGGCTACGTAGCAACATCTAGCGACCGTCGCCAAATTCCAGTGACTGTGCGGGCGGAAAGGGCCATGATCGGCAGAATTGAGCGAGATCAGCTCAGAAAACCAGCTGGAAAGATGCGTTCGCGTCAGCTTTCACACAGTGTGCATCGTTCTCGGGGCCGTTCACCGCTGGCATCAGCGGGGAACCACGGCATAGCTCTCGCGGGTGAACGGGCCCCGGCTGAGTGGATGCGAGCGGAACGAGGCGTGGGCTTCTGGAGGGCGGCCAAAGCAGTTGCACTGGACGGGTGCTCTTGTAAGCGCAGAATGGCTGTTTGTCACATGTGCCGGGTAACCATTGAAATGCCTCAATCACATCCAAGAAGCAATCACAGATCGCAGCTTAACCTCTGCGCTGCGTGGGGGGGCAGCCTGCGCTCGAATCGCGGGACAGTCACCTGGATAGAATGCACACATTTTGATCGCGTCATGCGCGCGTGCAATGAATTGAGGCAGGACATGCATGGCCCCTGAATTGTGGCCCCCACCTGGGACATTGTGCGCCCTCGGATCGCGAGCCCCGGGGCGTCGCAACTCGACATAACCGGCCGTGCTCTGCCTCCCGCATCTCTCGCAACGGAGGTCGATGCCCGGTCTCTGACAATGGGTAATCCTCGTCAGCTCGGGCCGGATGTCGCGGAAGGAGAGAGAGACATACGTCATCGTCATCACGCTCCAAGCCATCTCCCGTCACGGCGATTGCACGAGCTCTTCTCAGGCGCTAATCGTTGATTGCAGTCAAAGCCATGGTGAACCCGACGGACTGCATCAAATGCCACTGCTCATGGCAGAAGAGGGCAGAACGTGGCTATTGTTCGTGCCTTATCCTGATCGCGCCAAAAAGTGCTTGACAGGACCTTCCACCCACGAAGAATGGTTCCCCTTGCTCTCTCAAACGGATTCTGGACCGGATCGGCGAAGCCGAAGTATCAGCCCACCTGAATGCCTCGATTCGCCGAAATGCATTCTAGCCACCTTACGCAATATCTGGAACTTGGATTGCAATGGATTGCGTGCTGTGTGGCCCCTTCAAACCCACATGCTGACTGTTCGCAGATTAGGTTTTCAGCCCTTATGCGACAAAGGGCGCTGTCTGTCGGTGCTGAATGCCAAGGGCTCCCCCTTGCCTGAAGCAGAACTGACTGACCGCCGACAGATGCGGAGGTTGCGTTTGCATTCTCGCTCGAGATGCGTATCGGAACGCAAATCTCCACCATGAAGCATATCAAGGCCGTGGGTGATTGACGGAGGAAGATCATCGCCGGATAATGAGACGGAGTCAGGAACTTAACTCTCTGGCATTTTACGAGGAAAGCAATGGACTAGACCCGTTGGTACTGATTATCGATAACATACCTCGAGCGGAGAGAGATAATTACCTCCTCGGTCTAGATACTGCGTCTCAAAATTGGCTACGCATCTGAATGCCGCATGAGCCCGAACGGAAGTCGGTCTCGCGCCGAACTCCGTGTCGTATCTCAGAATCACGTTACCGCGTCAGCACGCCCATCAATTGTCACAATCACAGATTTTCGGTCACCAGCTCAGGCCTTTTCCGATGTCCTCACTGCCGACCGAACTCGTCGACCTCATCGCCTCTTACGCCAGCGCATCCGATCTGATCGCCTTGGGGCTGGCATGCAGACGATTCAGCCAAATATGCACCCGGCATCTGTATCGCACGGTGCGCATACAGGGAGCGCTGGCGCTGTCCCGCGCCATGCGATGTTTCAGGACGCTGAGCTCGAAGGTGGATCTCGCGGCCCATGTGAGGAGTCTGATTTTGTCAGTCTCCACTCCTCCTCCCACCTTCGCTGTCCTTCCTCTGAAACCAGCCTATATGCTAATGCCCGGTCTATTTCCAGGTCGATGCCTCCGCCGGCCCGCATCCTCGCATCGTTCACCCGGCTCTTCCGCGCCGCGCTGACCCAGCTGCGCAACCTCAGCGTCCTCGAGGTGCTCCTCAACGAGGACATATTCGCGGCGCTCGCGACATGCCACCTCCCCTCCCTGACGCGGTGCAGCCTGATCTGGTCCCCGAGCCTCCCGGCCTTCCTGCAGCTCAACCCGCACCTGAAGCACCTGGGCACGTTGCCGCCTGTCGACTACGACGCGTTCCCGGTACACATGCCCGCGGTCCGCATGCCGCGCCTGGAGACGTTCTACGGCACGGCGGCGCTGGCATGCGCGGTCGTCCCCGGGTCGCGCCGCGTGTCGGAGCTCACGCTCGTATGGGGCCCGTGGGACATCGACCGCCCCGGGAGCGTGCTCGGCGCGCTCGGCGCGTCCGGCGCGACGATCGAGATGTTCGCGAGCGTGTGCGCGCGCTGGGAGACGCAGCTACTGCGTGCGGTCGGCGCGCACATGCCCGGCGTGCGGGAGCTGCGGCTGCACCACGTGCTTGAAGCGGCCGACGACGAGGGGGGCGAGGAGGACATGGACGAGCTGGAGGTGTGTGTGTGTGCATTTGCGGGGCAGAGCCCGTGTGGAGGTCGTGCGCTGATGCTGCTGCCGGAGGCCTTCTACGATTCGGTCGCCGACGCGCTGCCCGCCTTGCGCGAGCTCAGGCAAATCGACATCAGCCGCACGGGCAGGCTGGCTGATCTCGACATGGTAAACCGGCTCGGCCTGGAGTTGGAGGCCGTGCGCAAGTGGGGAAGACGGTCGTCCGCTCTCATGCAGTGCGTGCTCGTGAGCGAGACGAGGTGGGTGCGCATCCGAAACAACGTGTGGTACCCGTATTCTGTGATCGAGGCCGCGCCAGCACCCGAGGAGGCAGGCGACCCAGAGGTGCCGGTCGCACAGACCAAGATGATGCGTTTCTTTTGGTTTTTGGCGCGGTTGGCGAGTGATAGAGAGCTGCGGGAAGAGTACGGTCCCGTGATGCGAGAGCTGAATGGTCCGGGCTTCATGGATCTTATGGACAGCGTTCTGAGAGATATTCCTCCGTCGCTGTCTCGGCATTGACCCGAAATAACCCAAGGCGAAACAAGGCGAAACTCCCGCCGACCAGATGGCGTATTTCACCAATGAGCTATGACCGACGCCCCGTGTTTCGCACTGCGCGCACGCTTGAATAGTGTCTGTACCCGATAGCACCGAGTGATTACCTTAGTGTTCCAATAAAATTCAACTTCTGAACCAGTGGATTTCGGTGATCGCGAAACAATCAGTCATGGAATCGTGAGCGGATTGGAGCCGTCAGAACCAATGCATGATGGATATTAGTTGGTTGCGCAAGCCAATCGGGAAGTAGAAAATTGGACGGCACGTTGGAAAAAGATACATATCAGCTGGGGACGCTCATCACCTGCGCTGTCGGTGAACGAGATGTGGAATGGCCTGGAACCGGTGCAGAAATAACATGAAATGATCCAAGCTGACTCGATCTTGTGCGGGAGAACTTTCATGACCCTAGAGAGACGTCATAAGAGCGAAACAAGAGAGAACATGTGCGAAGACTTTGCCCGAGTAAACCTATTTTTTTTTTCAGCTTTGAGGCTCTCCAGAAAGCAGAGAGAAAGAGGTGAGGAGTCAAAACCGCATGAGTCCATGCGTTTAGATCGATTACTCGCCAGACTGCGGTGGGACTTGCCCAACTCAGGCTTGAGACGAAACGGGGGCGGATTCACCCTCATCGAGTGTCTCCTTTTTAGTCTGATGCCATCCATGTTGGCTTTCAGCTTGAACAGCATTCGATGCAGGGCTCGGGGGTGTTCTCGATGAATCACGTGCTGATGGAAATGGAGATCACTATTGAATCCATAAGGGTTCACCGCGATCTAACGTCATCATCGAGTCCCTTTCGTCATGTCCTCCACCAAGGTTATCCTCGTCACTGGCTCTAACACCGGTATCGGGTACGAACTTGTCCATCTGCTCGCCGCACAAGGCCATACAGTCTACCTCGCGTCTCGAAAGGAACAGGCTGGGCTCGATGCTGTGTGAGTTCCTAGTGCATATCTTCCAGTCAGTTCTGGGGGTCTCACCACCCCCGAATGCGTGCTGCAGATCGCAAATCAAGAAAGAGAAAGGTCTGAGCGTGAAGTATGTGAAACTGGACGTCACGGATGTCAGCTCCATCAAGGCGGCTGTCGCGCAGATCGAGAAAGATGAAGGACGACTCAACGTGCTGGTTAACAATGCCGGTGTGTCTTGACGACTGCAGACCATGCGGAATCCCAGTCTCATCTTCCGTGGCAGGAATCAGCAAGATGGAAGTTCAGCACTCCGCAATCGAACCTGACTTGGACGCGATCCGCGGGACATTCGAAACCAACGTTATCGGCACGATCCAGACGACGACGGCCTTCCTCCCGCTTCTGCGCAAGTCGAACACGCCAGAGACCCCGTCGGTGATCCTCAACGTGAGCACGGACATGGCGTCCAACTCGTTCATGGCGTCGCCCAAGGGATTCTTGCACGATGTCGTCGCGTACAACACAAGCAAGGCCGCCCAGAACTCGTACACGATCGCACTGGCCAAGAATCTCGAGGCGGAGGATATCAAAGTCAACGCGGTCACGCCGGGCTTCACGTCCACCAAGCTGAATGGATTCTCCCCGGGGGAAAGACTGCTGAGGACGGCGCGAAGGTCCTCATGAAATGGGCCTTGCTGGAAAAGAATGACCGGACTGGCAAGTCTTCGTCCTCATTTTCTTGCTCTCCCATTGACTCGCTTCGATTTGAAGGCGTTTTTGCTTACGACGGTGGCGATTGGTCGTGGTAAGAAAAACCCACGATGATCGTTATTATGTACGAATAGAATGTAATGTAAATTTTGGAGCCGACCAGAGCTCTCCAGGCGGAGGAGACGCTCTAAAATTTGTATTCAGAGCGGGGAGGTAGCGCTCAGACTTGGAGGTGGGCCAGACATGATGTGCAAATTTAGGGATTCAAACCCTCTATTCGTTCACCGGAAGACCTCTGGTGGATTCAGCTTCTGCATCTGGGAGCTTCATTGACAGAAATGGGTTGTCTCATCCTGATCGGATCAAGACGTTTCCATTCACGGTCGTCACTGTCACAATTGCTGCGGTGTGCTAGCCCCTCTGGCGCTACCAGTTACTCGACTACTCACTCCCTTCGAACGCGATATCTCAAAATTCTCGATGCGTGGGAAGGAACTCAAATCACCTCGGGCCCGATATGGAATCCTCGAAGCCCCGTGGCTTCACACGCGGCGAGCAGATGCGCCGTTCTAGACTTCGACCCCGCTAACGCAGAAGTCACGACGACGCATCTATCCATGCTTTTTCCACGTCCGAATGTCGGGCCTCATTGGTGCAGGCCTGCTCTGCGCTCGTATCCGTGTCCTACTCCCGCTAGATCCTTCCCCCTCCCCAGTTGCTAGCGTACTCCGCCTTGGGATGCATCCCAAGACCGCTTCATTTCATTTCGCAGTGAGGAGTTCTGGGGCTGGGGCTAAGGAAGTGATGATTTGTAACCTCCAACGTCCTCTGAGGTCTCCGCCTAGCGGGATGCGTGCCTCGCCCATGGTGAGCCTTTGGGAAGACTCGAGCTCGTTAACAGCCAGAGGGATGGAAATCCCCTGCTCGGCCGAGCGTTTCTACATGAAGAATCAAAGGAACACCGCGAAAAGATCATTTCCCGGTATCTGCACGGTCCCGAGAGCGTATGGAGCGATATGCCCTCCATGCGATTTGACCATTATTCTTCGGCTCTTGGGAATGGGTCTGCATCTCCGTAATGCGTTGTTGTGCTAGAAGCTGCCCCTCTATTTGTTACTCCGCGGTTTACAACTGCATTCACCGTATAAAAGTCGACCGCGAACGCTCATAGTACTCATCGAAGGTCACCGCTGTCCATCGATACCGTGTTCCATAAGCCTCTCGACAATGGTCTATCTCAACCTGCTCGCTGCTGTCCTCTCTGCCCTGGCTCTCGTCTCTAACGCTGCGATCGTCAGCGGACCCAACTCCGCCCCCGATCTCAGTGGTGTCAAGATCGTCACTTCTCTTCCTGCGGGAGCCACCGCTTTCGGATCGGACAACGACACGGACTGGACCGTCGCGTACGACAAGGACCTCAAGGCCCTCGGTCGCCTTAAGAACGATGTGTTCTATGCGCTGATCAACCCCAACACGAATTCGACCCATCTAGCTGCCAGACAGGCAGCGCTCGGTGGCCGGTGCACTGGGCTCTCGGTCGGCGAGCTCCAGAGCCGTGAGTGACTGCAAATCTGCTGCGCTAGGTCATGGTCCCTAATCTCATTGCCAGTTCCCGCTTGGCCCAACCTAGTGCAGTACGTAAGGGACACGCTCTCGTCGAGCGTCAGCTACAATCTGTGGACGACTTGGGTTGGCTGTCCGCGTTGTGCTGGAAGGAGTAGCATCTGACTTGTTTCGGTAGGACGGAGTGACCCAAGCTACAGCCTGTGTCTCTGAGGGCATCGTCTCTGTCGAACGGACTGGGCAAGCTCAATGCAACACAGATGAACAGACCTTCGATGGCGACACCGTCGGTCGCAGCGGCGTAGTCACCCTTGCGGTTGTGTCCGGATCGTCCACGACGGCCACGGAGTCTGTCACCCGTTGAGTCCCTCCGAATCAATGCCCCTTACTAGGTAGCTTCTGACATTCGCACGCAGGATCGGCAACCATCGGTCTGAGCTACACTGCGAGCGTCACTGTTGGCATCCCAGGCATCGGTGAAGCCAGCGCATCCTACACAGCGTCTGCTTCGTTCACGAATGAGTTCGGCAAGAGGTGATCGCAGTTCTGTCCCACATCTCTGCTCGGGCTCACTTTCTTCAGCTTCGAGAAGACCATCAGCAAGGAGAGCAGCCGCTCTGTGGCCGTCAACTCAGACCCTGGAGACTACTGCACCATGCAGGTCAGTCGGGGCTTGTCTTATCTGCGTCCCACACTGACGATCCCGCAAGATCAAAACTACGACCTGCTATCAGCCGTCCCGGGGCCGCGTGGGCTTCGTCGCGGATGGCTACGTCCGATTCGGTTTTAACTCTCGGGTGAAAGACCACTACTACTGTGCGTATCAGGTTATCTACCTGCATGCGCCCCACTCACCGCACACCGTAGGGCACATTCCCATCAGCAGGGAGTCCGAGGACAAGCGCACCTCGTACATGGAGTTCACTGGCTCGATCAACTCACATGGATATGGCCGCTACCGTGCCGAGTGCAACAAGTAAGAACGCTAGGGCGTCGCATACGGGTGCTACCCCAGATCATTCTGTCTTTTTACCGTTCACCTTGGACTGTGTTTCGGAATGAATGAATGTTACTATTGTGGGATGACCTGCTGTCCACCTACGCCTTGGAGCTTTCCATTAGCATGACCAGATGCATTTCGTTCGCTGGAAGCGTCCGTCGACCTCAAACTCCCCTGCTCCGCGGATCTCCTGTCTTGCCAAATTCTCTCCTCTCCTGCACTTACATTCTCTAATAGTGCGCTCGACATGTCTCAGACATCCGCACCTCTATAAGTTAGGGAGCCCGCATGCACAAGACACTATCTTGTTTCTCTACTCTTCACACCGCTCTACGAACAGCCCTACATGTGCGTCATCCCATCCTAATCCTCATTCAAGTGACATCTAATCCCCGTCCAGACTTTGACAAAATGAGATTGTCTACTCTTGTTTCCGTCGTGTTTGCCTTGACCGGCGCTCACGCAAAGCCCATCTCGGTGAGTGTCAGTCCCAGGATAGACCCAGTTTATTCAATCCCTCGTACAGCGCCGCGACTTCAGTCTCGCCTCGTACCAGGACGCTACTCCATCGGAGCGCCGCGACTTCCTCCTCGCAGTCAACGCGAGCAACATCAATCTCTCGCAGGATACGCTCGACAGCCTCAAAACCGTTCCTGTCGTCGAGAAGAAGATGGCCGACAGTGGCACGTCAGAGCTCACTAACGACTGGCTGATAAAGTGGATCGCCGAGTTCCAGGACGAGGTGAAACAGGGGCAGGAAAGCGGGGATGCGGATGCGGGGTTGAGTCAGGTCTCAAAGCGACAGGAGGAGGATTGCGGAGATGGAGAGGAACAGGAAACGAAGCGGGGGGACGACGACGAACAGGCTGAAGAAACAATTGCCGAGAAGCGAGACAATGACGAGGGCGAGGGCGAGGCAAGGAAGCGGGACGAAGGAGATGAGGAGGGCGAGATCTTTGACAAGCGGGACGACGATGAAGCCACGGAGGACGCAGGTGACGCCGAGGCCACCGAGACCACAGACGAGGACACATCCGAATCGAAGAGGAGCAAAGACGACGAAGAAGATGCCGACAGTGACGCCGTCACCAAGCGTCAGGAAGCTGGTGATGAGACCCCCGAGCTGGAAGAGCGGGATGATGAAGCCGAGGATTGAGGCTTTGACTGTTCTCTAGAGTCAGTGTGAAAGACCTGGTAATCATGATCGGTATTGTGTCTACTACAACTACAGCTTGTTTTCATTCTTGAGTTTAACGCGCAACATCATTGTACTGCGGCATGTAGTGCGGTCCCAGGATGACATGTTCATTCGTCGTACAGTCCTCATCTGGCCAAATCATCAGGAATGAATTCTGCCATATCGAGACCACACTCACAGCTATTCCACGATCTGACCGTGGGCGACTTCTTCACCAAATCACTCAGCTTCAACTCAAACGCACGTCCATTTCGAACTTGGCTGTGCGTCGTAGCGTACCCGCCATATCCAGAATGCCCGTTGAAGCAGATCGGGATGCCCGACGAATCGGTGGAACGGGCACACCACGATTCTCCATGGTCATGGCCGGAGGTGACTGCCAGAACGTTCCCACCGTACGGTCCACCGTTGAGATGGCTGACGACGGCGTTCCAAAATGGAAGATCGAGGCCAGTGTACACGTTGTTGAGAAATCCTTGCGCCGAGGGGTCCGGTTCGTCGTCGTGATCTCCTGCGCTTGGCCTGTGCATAGTGAGTGCCATTAACATTGCCATCGGGAGAAGACGTACAGAGGAGCCAGATCGTCGGCCTTTTGCACAGGGATATGGACAAACACCAAGGCGCGGGGAAGACTCCCCCACTGGGAACTCTCTCAGTCTCATCCCTGCATCCTCCGAAGAAGCACGCACCACACGTTTCATCAGAGCGCTCTGCTCCTCGATGTAGGTCGGCACCGTGTTTTCATCAACCCAATAGTAATCCGCTGCAGCGGGAACAGGCCCTGCTTCTCCAGTGACGAACGACCGAGAGTCGAAGAACCACAGAATCACTGCGGGCTTCACATCCGATGCTTTGGCATACACAGGGACCCAATAGTTGCCCAAGCCATACGGGCGAGCTCCGACATCCGACCGAGTGTACGACAGTGTCTTGCCGTGTTGGGCAATCTCGTAGCTGGTGGGACGGGTCAGGCGGACGTTCACCCAAAGCAACTCGAGGAACGCACTTGATCTCTTCCTCGTGTGTAATGTTGAACGAGTTGTCGTGCTGCAAAGGCTCGAGCTCTGTCGCGCAGGAATGGAGAAGGGTGACGGACGTTCCCGTGGGTAGACGCGAATGGAATGTTCCTCTCCACAGTAGGCGCCCAAACCTGGTCCAGGTACTTGGTCGCGTTCTCCTTAAAGAGGTTCTCGCCAGTGAGTAAGTCTCCATTGAACACCCTGACTATCTCAGATGAGCCTTGACGCAAAAGCTGCACGCACGCACACGAAGTCGGGGCGCTCGTTGTCCAATACGACACTATGCACATGGGAGGTATTGACGTCCTGTTGTGGACCCCAGTCGACGTCTTCCCCCTCTCCAAAGTGCATATCCGAGAACGACACGATCTGCCGGCCACCTTATCAGGAACCGCTGTGCTGAGGGACGATACACCACCACGCACTTTGAAAGTCTTCTTGGCCCCGAAGATCAGCTTCGGCTTGCCTGAAAGGACGCCTAGCAGCCCGGCCGAGAAGCTGCTCGTGAGCGGGGCGGCGGCAGCGCCCGACACCAACACGGCCAACAAGGCGAAGCAGATAGCAGCGACACGCATGGGGTGTGGAGCGATCGATAACAAGCTACGAAACGGTCATGGGGGAATAAATGGGGGGATGAGCGGAGAGACGTACCTGGAACGTGCCAGCTTCGGAGCCAATCCGCCTGCGAAGCACGTTCCACCGCGGGACGCCGTGATCTCTCACTGCATTTTCGCACAGACGCTGTCGCGGAATCGAGGTGGATGTCATGAATACGATGGATTACATCGGTTTGGATCAATAGTAGCAGAGTCGGGAGTCTCAAGCCAGTGGAGAGAAGAACTCGCAGTCATTAGGGACTGGGAACAAAGGTGGCGCCGAGGGTTGCGGTCACGTGTTCACAGTCGCGAGATCACTGGAATTTGGAAATCGCCTCAAGCCAAGCCGTCTCTCATCGACGTGGTTTACATTGAATCGCTTCGGGAAATAGATGGCAAAATTTCGCAAAGGGTCTGTAATTTCACGAGAATAGGAGCGAATACGTCGTCGTCCATTGGTTGATATCGTCTTGCACCAAGTCACACTGAGGTGTGACATGGCAGTCACTCACCTGTAAGCACCGGCCGAATCCAAGTACTGTACCGTGCCAATCAAATCGTCAGTCACGCGTCACAGGCTGCCTGACGAAGTCGAAATTTGTTTTGATGTCACGCATCACATGCTCAGGTGACGAATTCATTTTTCCGTTCGGAAATAAATAAGGCTTGTGGGGTTCAGCTGAAGTGTTAAAAATACTTGTGTACCCTTCCCTGTGTTGTTTTGAGTCTGTGTGGGGCTATCACACAGATAGCTTCAGATCAAGTTGCAAGCAACTCATAGGGAGGTGAATGCATGACCTGACAAAAAAATCAACATGTCACATGTCATGGGGGACCTGACGAATTGACGAATTGATCTTTTGTGTCACGCATCACACCCCCTGACGATTTGATTGGCACGGTACAGTATTCTTGCAGCGATCAGATGGAACTGCCAGTGAATCCACCTCTCACTCCCAAGTGCTGTCCTCTGACGCTCACATGATTGCTTTTCCGGTGACGGCGGAGGAACACGACGCCAGCGCAACCGTCCATACTTCAGATGTCTACTCTCTCTACCCGTTTTGCCCGTCCTGCTGCTTCTAGTCGGGCGCTGGATACAGTTTCGCGTCAGCGCCAGCCTCTCGTACAACACACGTCAGTACCTCGCACGCTCGATGAACTACATTCCGCGACACCTCTGCGGAGGAAGGACTGGAACGAGATCCTCTTCGGCTCTCTGAGCTGCACATGGTAACCCGCTCGATTACAGTTTTTCCACCGTGCCATTCCCTCCTTTTGCGAACCACAGGCAGCCGACATGCGCAGAAATGGCAACAAAAGTGCTTAGAGAGGCTGGCCCTTGTCACGAATGAAGAAATGAAGTTGTGCAGTGCCCGTCGAAAGGACCTCTGTCTTTCACGCTCATGATCTCCCTCGGCTCGGGAATGTTCGCTGCTCGACGTGTTCCGCTGCTCTGCGCCGTATAAAAGATGAGCGCAGACGACCCAGAGTACTCATCGAAGGTCTCCTTACCCACCGATACTCAGTTCCACCAAGCCTTTCGACGATGGTCCAGCTCAACCTTCTCGCTGCCGTGCTTTCTGCCCTTGCCCTCGTATCGAGCGCCGCGTCCATCAGCGGACCTGGCTCTGCCCGGGACCTCAGCAGTATCGACATCGTCACCACGCTGCCCGCTGGGGCCACCGCCTTCGGATCGGACAACGACACGGACTGGACCGTCGCGTACGACAAGGACTTCAAGGCGCTCGGCCGCCTCAAGAACGAGGACTTCCATGCGCTGATCCACCCGGACGGCAACTCGACACAGCTGGCCGCTAGGAACGTCGCGCACGGTCGTCGTTGCACCGGGCTGTCTGTCGGCGAGCTCCGGAGCCGTGCGTAGACATCCCCCCGGCTGAGCTGTGTTTTCCGACCGCATTTTCAGTCCCTGTCTGGTCCAACCTCGACCACTACGTCAAGAACACACTTGCCTCCAGGGGCAGATACAACGTCTGGACGAACTGGGTATAGCTTCTTCCAAGCGTTCACGAGAGTGGCAGTCTGAAGTGTTCCGCCAGGACGGCTCGAACCGGGCCACGGCCTGCGTTGCTGACGACCACGTCTCCATCGAACGCACGGGCAGAGCTCAGTGCAAGACCGGCGAGCGGACCTTCAACGGCAACCACGTCGGTCGCACCGGCGTCCTCAGACTTGAGGCCATGACTGGATCGGCCACCACGGTCAAGGAGTCTGTCACCAGTTGAGGCTCAATGCGACCCGGCTGTGATTACAAGCTCTGACATTTTCGTGCAGGAGCCGCGAGCATCGGGTCGCGTTACACTGTTCCGAGCATCGACTTCGACATCCCGTGCATCGGCGAGGCTAACTCGCCCTACCGCGATTCCGCCTCGTTCAGCAACGAGCTCCACAAGGGGTGACTGCGGCTACCTCCAGCACTTGGTCTCAGACTCACTTCTTTCAGCTTTGAGAAGACCATCAGTAGGGAGAGCACCCGCTCTGTCGATGTCCGCTCGGAGCCGGGAGACTACTGCAGCATGATCGTCAGCCACGACTTTCCTTGTCCCCGATGTCGTAGCGTTCTGACGAGCACCCAGGTTGAAACCACCACCTGCCAGCAGGAGTCCCGTGGTCGTGTAGGCTTCGTGGCGGTTGGCTACGTGCGCTTTGGCTTCGACTCTCGCGTCAAGAACCACTCGTACTGTACGTGACTCCGTCCTTGAAATCAGCTCATCTGACCAGTCACATACTTCAGGGCACCTCCCTCTCGCCCGGGAGTCCGCGGACACGCGCACCTCGTACATGGAGTTCACGGGCTCGATCAACTCGCACGGATATGGCCGCTACCGTTCCGAGTGCCGCAAGTAGAGGCATACACACGGACACTGGGACATCACATCGCCTTTGATCTTTCTTTCTACTTCTACCATGTACTTTGGACTGTGATTTGATATGAATGTTGTCTTGTGAGGGGACACTGTCCCTCTCACCCACCCGAGCCTGCGTCCATCACCGATCTCCTCTCCACCATTCCCACCTTCATGGACTGTGAGACGGCCGAGAATAACCAGGGCTCGATGGCAGCACGGTCCTCCAATCACGAGTCTATCTGCGGCACTGGTCGTTGTGCGTGGCAAGTACAAGCAGTGGGGATGCTTGCGGAGCCAGCAATCGAGTCGGACCTAGCAAGGCTTGTGGCACTTGTCTGCTTCATTCCGTGTTACCTTGCCTTTGCGATTGTTGGAGCAGAGGCAAAGGATGTGGGGCACGCTTCGCCAGTGAGCTGACTTAATTTGCATCCGAACGTTTTGCATGAATCAGGAACGAGGACAAGCAGGATTGATCACGCGAGTCTTACAAGCGGGACTCATGATTCATTCAATTTGTTTGATAACGTGCTTTTTCCGGATACAGAAGCATCGATTTTTGTACCGTACGGTACACTCCGGCGAAGTAAAGCCGGCAGTTTAATTTTGCACGCACTGCGAATAGACTGCGGGTATTTTTAGCAAGCCACGAACAAAGAAACGAGAAAAGTACGCACAAGGATTGCTGGAGACACATGTAGATCCAGCAGCGCAGCTTGTGCATCCCGTCCAGCTCTGTCCACCGCATCTGGATAGCCGACATGAGAATTGCGACACAATACCCGGCCAGAAGACACCTACTGTCCGAAAATGGGCGAGAAACAGCCCGTGCCTGAGCTCGCTGACGTAGTGAACGTCGTGCTGCTGGATGGCGGAACCTCGGTTGATCCAGCGTTGAAAACGACCGTGACCATGCCGTTCGCGGGGACGATCACCGTCGCCAGTCCGCCCACGAGTGTCACCGGGACGGTATCCAGGTCGATCCCCTGCGCCGACACGACGGCGAAAGCCTTCGTGGGCACGAATCCGGCAGTGGTGACGTTGACTGCGGTGTTCCCTTGGCCGTTGTTGAGGATCTGCACAGACACGCTGGAGTCGGGGTTCTTGAATGCGCTGAACTTGAAGTTGGTCGTCGTCCCCGCAGCCGAGGTCCCGAGCCGCACCGCGCCAGGACGCACATACCGCGACCACTGCGCGAATGCCCACAGCCGCTTCGACGCGATCACCGTCGTCCCGTTCGTCGTCGTCAGCGTCGAGTCGGTCGTTCCCCCAGGCTCGTTGCCCACCCAGTACAGATAAGCAGACAGATTCGAGTTGACGATCCCGTCAGAGATCCGGTTGGCCCAGGTCATCCCCTCGCCGGCTCCGCCAGAGGAGTACCAGTTGTTGGGGTTGAATTGGTCGTTGAGGTCCGCGTTTTCGGTCTGCCAGACGGGGTGGGTCGTGTTGAGCGGGGTGCTGGGCGAGGACGTGTAAGCGTGCGAGGTGACGATCCCCAGCAGAGGCATGGCACCAGCCGCGTTGATGTCGTTCGTCATGGTGATCTGGTTCTTCCATCCCTCGGAGTCGCAGCAGGCGATCTTAGTGGTGAGTCCTGCAGCGGTCAAAGTCGGGGCCAGGACCTTGATGAAATCTAAGGATGAATGTCGGTCACCCAAAGACGCTTTCAGACTGAAAACTCACCCGCAGCCTGCTGCCCGTTCGACAGCATGGAAGAGTAGGTCGCCCTAGGAAAGACATCTATAAGCTGCATAGAGGCCGGAAACCGCACTCACTGGAACTCGGGCTCGTTCAGAAACCCGACGTGGGTCAGGGTGACATTGGACTGCTTGTAGAACAAGATGTACTGGGCGATGAGGTTGGCATAGGCCTGTTTCCAGTCGCCCGACGCGCAAGTAGCACCGGTAACGCCGCACAAAGATCCGCCGTTCGCCTCGTTGTTGTTTGTCTGGCACCGATCAGCAAACCATTCGCCCAGCTCCAATGGCTGGCTCACCTTCATGAAACCCGGCGCGCTCCACGCATCCGCGTAGAAGGTCTTCACCCCGTACGTCATCGCCTGCTGAGCGAACCACACCTGGCCCGCATCCACGCCATCCCAGACATACGTCGGCGCGCACGTCGGGCATCCAGGACTCGTGGGCAGGATGCCGTCCCCCGCGCCGCCCGAGCCAATCCGGTTCCGCACGATCGTCAACCCTGCGCCGATGTTGCGGTCGAACAGCAGGTCCAGCGTCGCCTTCGCCTCGGCGGCGGGATAGCCCATGATCTGCTGTGCGTGGCCGAAGGCCTCGGAGAACCCGAACCCGTCCATCGTCTGGAACGTCGTCCCGGACTGGACGGTGACCGTTGTCAGGCCATGGACGACGCCGAGGGCGGACGAGAGAAGGGCGGTGAGCTGTAGTAGGGACATGAGACGACAGAGTCACGGCCAGCAGACCGCGCAAGGGAATTTATAGACATCCTCGACGCTGGTATTGAAGTCAGGTGCTGGCGGGTTCTGAGCCCGGAGGAGGAGAGAATTTGAGGAGCACTGCCCGACAATCTGACGAGGAATAGCCTGTGAGCTTCCGCAAAAAGGCTCCGGTCAGGTGCTCGGAATCGGCCGAATATATGATCCCGGGGCGTCTACAGATATTCTGGACTTGATCAACAGTCGGATATCGAATGTCTCCATCCAAACAGTAGGCAAAGGGTATACAATAGAAGACATAGCGTGGATAACAAGATTAAGTCTTCGAAATTCACCGTTGCCATTCGATGAGACAAACTGACATTGCCCACTTCAGAGTTTTTTCCCCTCCTCCGACCTGAAAGCCGTGGTGACGAAATCGAGCCGTGCGACAGGAGAAATCCTCGCAGCCAACTCCCGTGACCGTCCTTTATCCTCCAGCATCGATACTCGCGTTGACAACAATGGGTCCCAGCCAGACCTTGCCCTCCGGGAACCTCATTCGTCTAGTCGTGGCGAATGAGTGCTCTGGGGTCTCTCAGGGCCACGAATTCTGTGTGTCCCGGCGAGCAGTCGTCTCGGGCTTCTTCCTCTTCAGTGCACATCTTGCTGGCACCCGAGCCAGGATTCAGAGTTGTAAAAAACCACGGGAATACGATACAAGCCAGACATGCTTCAACGCTAGTTGGGTGATGTCCTATTGATTTCTACTGAGCAGGCGTGTATTCCGTGTAGCCTCTGGGCGAATCTTCCCCTTGCAGATAGAACAGATCGCGATCGTACGGTCTGAGCGGAATGTCTCTCTCCAGGCGGTCAGGTAGATCAGGCTACCAATCGGATTCAAGACATCGAAACAGATCTTGCCAGGACAAGGTTACGCACATTGGAGATGTAGTAACGTCCGAAACAAGCCAGCAGACTTTCTTTCGCGGTGACTTGGAGAGCTTTATCCCGCGTCATGGCCCCGGCAGCGATATGCGGTCGGGGAAACCACAAATCCATCAGCGTACTATTGGATTCTTCGGCATCTTCGTACCCCTCCAGAGTAGTGTTGCCGGCAATGCGAGGCTCGATGAGATGGATGTATGCGAGGTCCGAGTGTCGCTTGACCAGCTCCGAGATGACATACGAGAACGTCGGCATCGGATTGCTCATCCGCATGCCTTGAAATCGAGACCACGGACTGAGCCGGATAGCGGTCCGCTGAGCGCCGACCACGGAGGCCACCGCGTCGACGACTTCAAGAGGAAACCGGGCCCGGTTCTCGATGCTCCCGCCGTAGTCGTCCGTTCGCTTATTCGACACGTCCTGCAGGAACTGGTCGAGCAAGTATCCATTAGCGCCTAGTGGACAATTCATCAGAGTTGTTGTAGCAGATTGCGAAAGAGACAGCCGCACTGTGGATCTCCACTCCGTCGAACCCAGCCTCCATGGCGTTTCTGGCTGCCTGTTTGTACCAGCCCACATACTCCTCCACCTCGCCAATCGTCAACGCACGCGGCACATCGTCCGCGCGTTCGGGGATCGGCAGGGGCGACGCCGAGACCAGACTGAAGTCCGGGTCGTCCTCGCGCAGATCGGTGAGCAGAGCCGCCCGCCCCATCGCCCAGAGTTGCATGAAGATGAACGAGCCCTGGGCGTGCACGGACGCTGCCACCTGTGCCGCAGCACCATCAGCGCCCAGGAGATCCCTGCGATCGTATTGCCCCGCCCACCTCCTTCCAAGCAGCGACCTGCTCTGCGCTCCAGATCCCCGACACGTGCGCGTTTCCGCCGGCCTGGGGCGCGATGAACACACCCTCGGTGATAAGGAGCGTCCCGGGGCGGCTCCCGCGCTGTGTGTAATAGTCCTTGACGAGTGGCAGAAACGGGACGTGCTGTTTGTCGGCTTTGTATCGCGTGAGCGGGGCGAGCACGACGCGGTGCTGCAGCGTGACGGGTCCGACTACGATGGGCTCGAAGAGATGCGAAGGCGGGGCCGACATGGGTGAGTAAGGGTCTTGGCGATTCTGCTGGCGCTCTTATGTTCCCTCCAATTGGGACAAGCGTCATGGATTACAATGACAGTGCGATGCGCATGAACTGGTGACCTGGCCGCTGTTGAATTTTCACCAGCACCGGCCCCCGAGAGTACCCGGGCTCAGAGAGCCACTGGCAGTAGAACTCCCCGCCGTGCGGAGTAGGTAGTGCATGTAGATGACCTGGAGATGACTGTCGAAATCAGGCGAGCGGCACTGTTGCTTACTAACCCTGTCATACCGCACTCAGGCTTTTTTTGAACTCCTCAGCCAAATTCCTGGTGAACGATACATGGCTGTGAACTTTGCCGAACTAAAGATACTTTCATCTGGCCGAACGCGCCAAGTTTGTTACTCCAGATGACACTGGGATCATAGCCCTGCCGTCCTCGATCTTGGCTATCTGACTGCCACCTCAGTTACCACCGCCAATCCCCCATATAGACCCCGCGGGGGTACAGGGGGCAGCTGGCCATTTTGGGGCAGGGGGATGGGCGGGGGTCAGGACGGGGGTCAGGACAGGGGTGCCCATACATACCATGTGACTTGTCCATAAGAGCGGGCAGCTGGGCGGGAAAAAAAAAATCAATCACATGATGCACCAAATGGGCGGGATGGCGGGAAAATCACGTGATGAGCTGCAGGAAAAATTTCAAAATGGCGGGGGTTGGCGGGGGCGTTGGCGGGGGCGCTACCGCCCCTCCCGCACACTGCAGCGGGCAGTGGGCGCATTATCACGTGACTTTTTGGGGGTCCCTTTTCACACCATTTGGCATGATTTTGGAGGTGCTGCTTGATAGATTGCATGTTGTGGCAGACAGTGGGCGCAAAATCACGTGATTTTCCACCAAAAAAAAAATGGAAGCCTCTCTAAATCATCCCAGTATAATTTCCATAGGTAAATACACTAATTGACCATGCATTTGAGCTTAGAAAACCCCAAATGCACCCTGCACAATAGGATTGTTGATGTGCTTGATCCCATCATCTGGCGGGGTCTGCTGCAGTTTGCAATTTTCCGCCCTTGGGGTTTCCTTTTTAGGATGGACCGTTTCGGGTCTTTCACCAACCGTGATTGATGGCAACACCGGCGACATATATATGTATCTTGGTTTTATTCTGTTGCCTTCAAGTAAATTTGATAAAGAACAATACCAAGGGCCTTGAGCGCCTGTACTTCTATAGAATCCCGCAGTAGTAAATGGGACATGCTATTATATTGTTGAATGAGGTCTAGAAGTATTTCTATAGAAGTCCGCTGTAGTTAAGGGAACATGGGGGGGATATGCTCGATTATACTGTTGAATGACGTCTAGAAGCTTCGTAATAGCATCTGGTGAAGCTCGCTCGGCTATAATTGTATCTGCACCGGAAGGTGGCGGCACTGGCACCTCATTCGACTCGGAGATCACCTTGGACTTCTTCTGTGTCCGTGCGTCAGGCTTCCCGTATTTACCGCTCGCTTGACTGCCACTGTGCGCATTGGCGTGTTTCCGTTTTCGAGCACCCTCGGCCACCACTCCCATAACTTCCGCCGTTTCGCTCCATGTCCCACGGTTGGGAGCAATCTTCTTTCCTTGCGGAGGCAAGATCTCCGCTCCGTTGGTGATATCTGAGAGAGCATCACTCAGCCGCTCGAGATGCTGGTAGAGATCCCAAGGGAGAGTCAACTTTTGGCGACGTAACACGTCGATCTTCGATGAAAGACGTTGCAGAAGGGCGGCGTCCCGAGCAGCGTCCTGGACGTCTGAAGAGTTGTGTGGCTTGTCTGAGCCAGAAGTAGTAAGCGTCGGCATCAAATGAGTGGACGATGAGGTGTCGATATCACTGTCCCAAGGTTGGGAGGCAACCGGTAGCGTTCAAGGAACCACAACATCAGGAAATTTCAGCTCGACAGCACAGATGTGCTTGCAGAAGGGTATAAGCGGGAACGAGGGACAGGTGCAAGTGTAGTGTTCCAGGTTCACTGTGTATGATTTGTCGGGCGTGGATTGTGAGTGAACGAGGAAAGTGGTGTCCGATTCGACTTCCAAGATTTGGTCGTCCTTGATCTGTACGGCCATTATGTGAATGTCGTTCCTTGCGCGAAGAGCGAGATCCGGCCCTTCAAATCCGAATTGTTGAGCGCGATGGCGTGCTATGAAGTGCGGCAGTGCCACATTCAGCAGGATGTGGATGAGTGCATCTGCACGTCGGTTTTGCTTGCCGCCCACGTGAAATGATTTCAAGAGATGGTGCCATGCTTCCACAAGCATATTCGTGTCGCTGATCTCGAAAATGGAACGATCTTGACGATAGATGGCTGACCACATGCGAAGGGTCTTCTCATCGAGATAATTACTCTCCAGATAAAGTACAACGCTCACCGGTGCTATCATCTTGATTTCCTCCCAGCAGTCCCAGAATTTTGTCTTGTCCGTGATGCAAATCCAGCCCTCCAGTTTTTTCCACAGCTCCTCGTAGGCATGAATATTGAAATGCTGCTGCCAAGCATGGAGGACATGCCACCAGCAGAGCAGGATCAGCGTTTCCAGGTAGAGCTTGGCAAGCGTTCTGAGCTGAGCAGTGTCCATATCTGACATGAAGCGACGCGGTATGACGTCTGGGTTTTGCTTCCGAAGATGCACGAGAAAGTAGCGGATAGTGTCCGCTTTGCCATTTGACGAGAGCATCCAGGCAACCGGAAAGCCATGGCCGTGTCGATCACGGACAACGATAGTGAAAAGAAGCGCACCGTAGTAGACTGTTGTGTTGTGTGTAGCATCTATTCCAGCATAGTCATGGCCCCATACCCGGAAGCATTTCTTCTGGTATGGAGTTTGGATTCCGAGAACAAATGTATCGGCGTCGAGACAAGAATCGGGCGGTGAAAGATCACAGCTTGCTTTGAAAAATAAGAGAGCATCAATTGTCTTCAGATGCTCGACCCATTCGAGGATAGAGAGACCATCATGTTGGTTGAGGCGGATACTTTCTGCTTCGATTTTCTTCTCAATGCGTCAAATGTCTCGACAGCGAATGAACTCCTCCCGACGCGGCTCCAGAGCAGACAAGATCTCTAGATTAGATTCAGAGTGGAAATCACCACGAACCTGTGACAACTGTCAAACACGTCGATCAGATGATGTCAAAGCGCGCGATTCACAAAAGACGTACAACAAGGTGTGGCTGCATCCCATCTCGCAGCAGATGCTTGATGAGTACGCGTGCCTCGTCAGGTATACACGTGTAGATGAGGTTTCTCGGGCCCGTAGGATGTGAATGGTCAGCTTCATAACGCCCAAGGATGATCGTTGTGTGAGGATATTGTTTTGCAACCAACCGACATGGGCAGTACAACCGCTTGGTTTCGATTCTCCGTTGTTGGTCTGGGAATTTCTTATCATCTATTTTCTTACCCCCTGTCGGCATTCTGCCGCAAGTGTACACCCTCTTCTGAATCCACTCGTGATTCTGTTTGTTCTTGTTCCGGACAACTTCTTTGAGGGGAAGATTGACGCAGAGTTTCCGCTCCTCTGCTTTGATCCATTCCTCCAGTTCAGCTACTGTGCCCCAGCACAATGTGTATTGCCCCGATGCAACATCAGCTTCATATGAGCCATACTTCACTGTTGGATTGCCCGTCTGGAACTTGAAGATCTCCGCGGAACGCCCATTGGACAGTGCATGAGTTGCGTCATGGGAATTTTGAGAGTTGAGGGCGGCTGAGGGTGTAGGCATCACAAGAGAGGGCGGATCAAATGCACTGAATACAAATTGAGACATCGGGGAACTGGTTCAGGTTGCGGAGAGGGATGAGAGGAGGAGAGGAAGAGCAGAAATGAAGACAATGAGATCTAGTACACATTATCGAGCGTGTATTGTTCACTGAATCCAACAAATTCACTCGATTTCACTCCGTCAAAGCTCCCCGGATCACTGGGATCACATGCAGGAGACCCAACCCAAAACGGAAACCCCAAGGGCGGAAAGTCAAAAACTGTCTGCTGCGGGGTCAGTCTGGCATATTCTATATTTGACCTCCTTCAGCCGTAGCAGTAGTGCTGCTGACCACCAGGGCAAGAATACAAACATTTATGAAATATCTTATCAAGGTAGACAAAGCCAATAGGGAAGGTGAAGATGTGTAACTGGATATTGCAATTGATGCAGGGCCCAGTGCGGGGTCTGGTGCAGGGTCTGATGCGGGGTCTGGTGGGGGTGGATTACACAAAATTTTGATGTATCTACTCTGGCTAGGGTTGTAGAATATCACGTAACTTTTCTCTATTTTGGCAGGGAATGGGGGATAAAGATACACAACATTGCCCGCATGTTTTGGCTGGGTCTCCAGGTCAAGTCATGTGATTTACCAATGTTTCGGTGGAGGGTAGGAGATTAATGGATGATGTTACCTATATAATCCATGGCATGTGAAGTCAAGCAGAACATGTGATTTTCTCATTTTTTGGCTGGCAGGATGGGTGGCATAGTAGATTGGCAGACCAGGGTCCACACTCCACTCATTGATTGTTTGCTTTACCCATTTAATATATATGTGTAGCACAGTGGTATCCATTTTTGGAGCTTGTAATAGAACATATTAGGTACACATCTCATCCCCCCCTTCCTGGCTGAATGCACTTGAGGTTTGAAAGTTGTGTGTTCCCTTGCAAGCGATCTGCTTGGGTTTCAGCATGAATTCATTAAATAGAGTGGATTTGAGGTGAACTATATTCATTACTCGGTGTGATGTGAGAGGATGTATTTACTGGCAAGTTGTCCCACAATAGTCAGAGCTTGGTTATCAGTGCAAATTTGACATGTACTGTACCGTGCCAATCAAATCCTCAGGGGGTGTGATGCGTGACACAAAAGATCAATTCGTCAATTCGTCAGGTCCCCCCATGACATGTGACATGTTGATTTTTTTGTCAGGTCATGCATTCACCTCCCTATGAGTTGCTTGCAACTTGATTTGAAGCTATCTGTGTGATAGCCCCAGACAGACTCAAAACAACACAGGGAAGAGTACACAAGTATTTTTAACACTTCAGCTGAACCCCACAAGCCTTATTTATTTCTGAACGGAAAAATGAATTCGTCACCTGAGTATGTGATGTGTGACATCAAAACAAATTTCGACTTCGTCAGGCAGCCTGTGACGCATGACTGACAATTTGATTGGCACGGTACAGTAAACTCTTAACAACTTGTGTCTTGGCTTGTATCTTTTGGAAGACCAACTGCAAACACATGGCTGATTGTTTTTACCAATGAGTCTCTACCCACCCCAGCCATGACCACCTGCCTGCACCCCCGCCTTCACCCCCGCCCCCCTGCCAGCACCCCCGCAACTACCCTGCCACTGATTGACCCCCGCCATCACCCCCGCCACACCAGTGCCTCAGCCCCTGCCATCTCCGAATATGTAATATTATGTAAAGTGACAGCCCGGAACACATCAAGTCAGTAGCCAATCAGGACCTGTATAAACGTCGTACCTAACTATGTTTTGCTCTTCTGAGACTGTTTTTACATATATGCAGCTAAAAACCATCGGAATTATGTCTCCTTATGCTGTTCTTGTTGAATATAATGCCACTTCATGTCCTCTGTCGGCCCGAAATTCGAAACATGGAAACAGCTCATAGTGACTCAATGTTCCTATATAGAGAACACTTCAACATGGTTCACTTTGCATATTGCGCAAAATATATTTTCTGCAAGGGCCCAACTTCACACAGCCAAAGGATACACCCTTTGGCAATGCCTGAACAAAATCTGGGGAGTGCTGGACCCTGTAACGATGGGCGAGCAATATGTTGTGGTGAGGGTGATTGCTCGGCGTTGGCAAGCAAGCCGGATCACGCGGTCCGTCCTTTCTGACAGCTGAAAGCTGTGCGTGGCTTTCATATCCCATTCATCCTCGACGCGACTTCAGTCGCTTTATCCCATCTCCCTTTCTCTCCCGGCTTTGTTCCTCTCACGTATATAGCAGCCTGCGAGCGCGAGGTGGACTTCAAGTCTCACTCATCGTGCTCGCAGGCAAGTAGCATTCCTATTTACTCATTCCCACAAGTCTCACTCGTCGTGCTCGCAGCTACATTCGTCGTACGCACTAATTCACTCTCTCTGTCCGATTCTGGCTTCCACTCGACGCAACCCTTGCCCCGAGCCTTTCAGAATCAACGGGAAGTTTGCCAAACAACCTACGAGCTCTGCACACGAGTCTGCCGCTGCCCCCACCATGTCTGACAATGCCCCCGAGTCTCCCACGCCCACCTCCTTCGCGTCTGCAGACGAGGTCGGCGCGCTGCGATCGGAGGTCTCTGTTCTCTCCGGGCAGTTTGCCCAACTGCTTGCCCGGATGAACGCGGCGTGGCCCGCTGCTCCTGCCACTTCCGCTCCCGCTGCTGCCGCCGCTTCTCCTGCCGCCGCTCCTGCCGCCCCACCCGCTGCTGCCACCGGCTCGACTTCTGCCGCCGCGCCCGCCTCCACTCCCGCTGTTGCGCCCGCCTCGACGGCCAGCTTTGTTGGTTTTGCGCAAGCGCCGTCATTTGGCACTCTGGGAACCGCCTCTTTCGGAACAGCACCTGCTCACCAGTTCGTGCCGCCGCTGCCACCTCTGGACTCTCCAGCAGGTGCGCACCCATCTCTTCGATCTCTGTTCCCCGACGTCGAGCCGGCTGTGATCTTCGCGGTCCTATCTCACGAGCTCAAGGCTCAAGATCTCTACAAGCTTGATGCGCGCGTCAACGAGCTGGACGCGACCTTTACGCTTAACGCCAGCGGTGTCTTTGAGCGAAACGTTGCTGGTCACAAGCAATACGCGACCCCGGCCACGGTCATCCATCCCCTCCACGTCTACTTCTCCATCCTTGCTGCCCATCTGTTGTCCGGTAGCGCTGTCCCAGCAGACATCCGGATGTCGGCATCGACTTACTTCCATCGCTACCTCAGCCACATCACTACGCTCTCGGTGGAGTACGAGTGGAAGGCAGTCCTGCGCTACCACGAGCTCTTCTTCAACCGCCGTCGCGGTGACATGCGCGATGGGGTCTACGCCAACTGGGCGTTCCCTGACGTTGGCTTGCTGAGTCTGCACGTGTACCAGCACCGCCGCACGTCTCCTGTCATGGCCGCCGCGAAAGCGCCCGCCGCCAAACGTCCTCCTCCTGGTAACAACACGTCCGAGGTTTGCCAGAACTTCAACGCTGGTCGCTGCGCTTCTCCCTGCCGTTTCGGGCGGCTCCACACGTGCTCCTCTCCCGGCTGTGGGAAGGATCACCCGCTCACCCAGCACAAATAGGGGCTCGGGCCGGTGACGAGGGTGGACCCGCCATCCACTCCTCAAGTACGCGGCCCTGTTCCGACTTATCTATTGCATCAATCGCTCTTTCCCGCCCACTCTACACCGCCGCCTAGGCCTAATTCCGATCCGCGTTGCAACGCTGCTCCAGCCTCTTCCGGATCCACTCCCACAGTGCACTCCGTGCTCAACGCGTCAGCTTGGGAGCACTATCTATTGGACTACCCAGATCGTCGCTTTGTACGTTCCATATTGCACATAATCAATCACGGGGCTTCGCTTGGATTCACGGGTGACCAGTCAGCTTCACAACAGTGCAGCAACTTGAAGTCTGCCTTCGACTCTCCATCAACCACGGCTGCGCTCTCTGCTGACATCTCCGCTCAGGTGGCGGCAGGACGCACTGCTGGTCCTTTTCTCTCGCCTCCCTTCGAGAACTTTCGATGCTCGCCGCTTGGTGCCGTCACTCGGAAACGTTCCTCGAAGGTGCGGAGAATTCATCACCTCTCCTGGCCCGGGGCTTCTCTGTTAACAATGGCATTCCGGACTCCGAGGCTTCGATTCACTACGACATGATTGACCGGGCCATTGCCGACATCATCGCTTCCGGCCCCGGCTCGCTCCTCGTCAAACTGGACCTTGAGTCTGCTTTCCGGCACATCCCCGTCCGCCCAGCAGACTGGCATCTCCTGGGTTACACGTGGGATGAAAAGCTCTATCATGACATTGTCCTTGGCTTCGGGTGCCGCTCGGCACCCTACATCTTCAATCTCTTTGCTAAGGCGCTGCACTGGATACTCCAGCGGCACCTTCCTGCCCGGATTCGTCACTACCTGGACGACTTCCTACAGATCTTTGCACCGGGAACACCACACAATGTTGTCTCTCACGCGTTGCAGTGGACTTTGGATCTTGGGCAACAGCTCGGACTCCACTTTCAGCCATCCAAAACTTGCGGGCCCGCCACCCAGCTCGAGTTTCTGGGCATCGAACTCGACTCAGTCGCAATGGAGGCTCGGCTTCCTGGCGAGAAGCTCGAGTATCTTCGTGAGCTCTTGGACTCATGGACGCGTCGCACTCATGCGCAGCTTCACGACGTCCAGGAACTGACTGGCTTTCTGCAATTTGCCTCTCAGGTGATCCCGACGGCGAGAGCCTTTCTACGTGGTCTCTATGACCTCCAGAACAAGTTCTCATCCCCTTTCGCACGGCGTCGCATCTCCCAATCGGCTCGTCGCGACATCGCATGGTGGTCCGCCTTCTCTGCTGACTGGAATGGCATTCGTTTCATTGCGCCGCAAAGACGCATTCTCCACGTCTGGACCGACGCCAGCGGCACCAAGGGTCTGGGGGGGCATTTCGGTGCCCGCTGGTTCTCGGTCCACTTCCCAAAGCGTTCCCTCACTGAGCACATCCAGGTGAAGGAGATGCTGGCCGTCATTCATGCAGTCCTCTGCTGGGGCGAGGACTTCCGCGGCGCTCACGTCATCTTTCATATCGACAACGAAGCGGTCCACACCACACTCAACAACTTCTCCATCCGGAGCACCCCCACGATGGATCTCTTCCGGCGTTTCCTGGCACTCGCATGCCGGCTTGATTTCTCCTTTTCTTCTGTTTGGCTCTCTTCTAAAGAAAACTCGATTGCTGACGCCGCTTCCCGGTTCTCCTTCTCCCACATGTTCAAAATTGCGCCCTTCCTCAACCGACAGCCCGACTCACGCCGCCTCCGGATTGGTGGTACGAACAGCATAGGACCTACCTAAAGCCGTTGCATTTTACCTATGGCACGGCCTCGCACCGGGCACTCGGCGCACCTATGCCACAGGACAGAAGCAGTTTATCAACCATTGCAAGCTCTACTCCATCTACAATGTTGACGGCGGCATCTTCCCAGCCTCACTCCCTGCCCTCATGTCCTGGGTCTCCATCAGCCTCGCGGGTCGTGTCCAACCCAAGACTATCAAACAATACCTCTCGCACGTTCGGTCTTTCCACGTTGACGCTGACATGCCATTTACAGTCTGCCAGTCTCCCATCCTCCAGCGGCTCATACGCGGCGTCAAGCGCTTCCATGGCGAATGCGATCGGAAGCCCGTCCAGCCGATCACCCTCCCTATCCTCACCGCCATGCTATCCGAACTCCGTCCTGGGGACACGCCTGGCCACACCACCCTTTACGCTGCCTTCTCCCTCGCATACGCAGGATTCCTTCGCTCCGGAGAAATCACAGCAGGGTCGGGATCCAGCTCGGCTAGTCTCAACCTGCGCCGCAGCAACGTTGAGTTCCTCCCCAGTTTTGACGAGTGTACTCATGTCAATCTCACGCTCCCGGCCTCCAAAACCGACCCCTTCCGCAAGGGCGTCACAATCTCCATCGCCGCAGCTCCAGGACTCATCACGTGCCCTGTCGCAGCGCTCAAACGGCTCTTCACAGAGCTCCCCCGGCCACTCACGGCTCCACTCTTTGAAGGTCTCGACGGAAAGCCTCTCCAGTACAAGGCCTTCGTTGCTGGCCTCCGCGATGCACTCGCCAGCGCCGGAATCGACCCTACAGGTTTTGCAGGCCACAGCTTTCGGCGAGGTGCAGCCTCTGAGGCAGCCGCCGCCGGGTTCAGCGACTACGAAATCCAGCTTCTAGGGCGCTGGCGAAGCGACTCCTACAAGCTGTACATCGAGAACTCGCTCTCGCGAATCCTCTCCCTCTCCAAAAACCTCCACATGGCCCATCCTCATTCCGTCCCTTACATCCCTCCGGTCTTTCGTGACTACGCACCATTGGCTTGAGCTGGACCCTGTCGTCGGCCAGGCATGCTTCGGACCCGAATGGCATCCTCATTTGCTCCCAAACACCCCTCCTCTATCATCCTCCGTCGTGTCTCGTTGTGCAGAAGGCTAATTCAAAAATACGAAATAAATCCAAAGTATAGTGTGATTTATAATGTGGGATACGGGCCAGTTTAAAGAGATGTGAGCCTCTGGTCATCTTGAATATCATTTCTAACAATGTTTCGGTCCCCTAACTCCTACCAGACAACCTCTGTTCTCACTGGAACGTGCAAAACCCACCCAAACTTGTAAAATCAATTGTCGCCCAGAAACAAGAGCAGTCAAGTTCCTTTGTTGGAATTGGGTAGAGGTAACCATGAAGTTGCTTGGGCTGCAGTATAAAAGCATGGGAATGTGTTTCTATGTGTATTGAGAATGTAAGGAGAGAACTTATATTATTCTGTAGACTACGTCCTGTATATATACTAAATATCTACATTATCTAGAAGGTGGTGGAACAAGCCAGAGGGCGGTAGTAAGATAAGTAATGATAAGTAATTGCTCATTACTTATCATTACTAATGACTAATGCGATCGTCAACACTCCCCCTCAAGCGCGATACATGCCCAGTGCTTCAATGAAATGTTCGTGCTTGTTTCGTGCTAGCCCTTTCGTAAGAATGTCCGCTGCGTTCTCGTTCGTAGGCACGTGGGAAACTGAAACCTCGTGAGAGGTGATGGTGTCTCGAATGAAATGGTACCGGATATCTATGTGTTTGGAGCGGGCGTGGAAACCGGAGTTGTGAGCGAAGGCAATTGTGCCCATGTTGTCGACGCTGATGTGAGTGGGTGGTGAAGTGTCGAGTCCGAGTTCCTGAAAGAGCGAGCGAAGCCATAGAGCTTCCCGAGCGGCACTGGCGAGAGCCATGTACTCGGCTTCCATGCTTGAAAGCGCGACGGTCGGCTGCTTCTTCGAATTCCAAGTGACGGCGCCACCAGCGAACATGGCAACATAGCCGGTGATTGATCGACGGCTGTCCGGGTTGCTACCCCAGTCGGCATCTGAAAAGAGTTCGAGCGCAGAGGCAAGGTCGGAGTAGTATGTAATGCCAAGGTTGATAGTTCCGCGCAGATAGCGGAAGACTCGTTTGACGGCGGTGAGATGTTCAGGCCCGGGGTTGGTGTTAAACTGGGAGAGGGTTTGCACGGCGAAAGAAATGTCAGGCCGCGTGGTAATAGCGGCATAAAGGAGGGATCCGATCATATTCTGGTAGACAGATTTGATCTCGGGGAAGGATTTGTCGTCGGGGAGACGGGAAAGTCGAACATTAGGATCCACGGGAGTCTGAACGGAGTTACAAGTGTCCATTTGGTACTTGGCCAGTATTTTGGTGATGTACTGAACCTGGGTGAGTCGAATGGAGCCTGTCGTTCGAGTGACTTCCATGCCGAGAAGCTGTCGGATTTCCCCAAGGAGCTTGATCGAGAACTCAGCGCTAAGCTCAGATTCGATCGAGGCCATATGTGCGTCAGAAGATGCGAGGATGGTCATATCGTCCACATGAACAGCTATGATGGAAATGTCAGAACCACCTCGTCGAATATAGACGCATTGATCAGAAATCAAACGCGTGTAGCCGAGTTTGAGAAATGACGCGTTGAGCGTGGTATTCCACACACGGCCAGACTGTTTGAGTCCGTAGAGCGTTCGCCAGAGACGGCAGACGCGTGTGGTTCCATCCTGAAAGAGCGGGGGTTGATGCATGTAGATCTCCTCCTCGAGTTCTCCATTTAGGTAAGCTCCGATCACATCAACCACATGGATTTTGAGATCGTAGTGTGCAGCGAGGGCAAGGAGGAGTCGGATCGTCTCGATGCGTACGACGGGGGCATATGTTTCATCAAAATCTATTCCGGGTATTTGTGAGAACCCTTTAGCTACGAGACGAGCCTTGTAGCGTGAGATATTCCCATTGTCGTCGCGTTTGATGCGGAAGACCCATTTACACGCAATGGCGGTGCGATTGGAAGGTAGTGATTCCAAAGTGTAGGTGCCCAACTTTTTGAGCTGCTCCATCTCCTCCCGCATGGCGACTTCCCACTCAGGCCAATCTGAGCGCGACTTTGCTTCTTCAACAGTGATCGGATCATCACTGATTGAGTCACGAGAAGTGGCGGCAAGTGCGGTGTCCGGAAGTTCGTTTGTAGGAACACGGTGGTTCCATGTGTTGGGTTTGGAGGTGTTAGCATCACGACGCCGGGAACCAGAGATGATATTCTTCGGGTCGATGGCACTTGAAATATCGCGTGGCGCAATGCGTGGCTCGGCTGGGGTGATCTGTGGTGTGCTCGGTGGTGTCGTAAGGGGTGATGATGGCGGCGTAAGTGATTTTGCAGGTCTCGGAGTTGCAGGCACGGGAATATTTTTCTGCTCCCCCTCGAGCTGCAACGGAGAGGGATTTGGTATGTTGGATGATGCGGGAGGGGGATCTGGAGTGAATACAACATTTCGACTGGTAAGAATCTGGCGGGTGTCCGCCTTGTAGTAGCGGTAGGCTTTAGACTCATCTGTCAGGCCCATAAAAATAAATGGGCGTGACTTGATATCTAGTTTACCGATTTTGCCCGTCTGATCCAGGACCCAGCATGGGCTGCCAAACTCCTGCAGCCCTGAGAAGTCCGGTTTTTTCTTCGAGAAGGCTTCTTCTGGGGTGATCAATCCGTGAAGACCGCGAGTGGGTGACCGATTTTTGAGAAAATTTGCGTAGGCCACTGCTTCGGGCCACAGAAATTTAGGGAGGTCAAAATGGGCAATCATGGCGCGTGCATGCTCAATCAGGGTTCGATTGAGCCGTTCTGCCACGCCATTTTGCGAAGGGGAATAGGGGGCTGTGAGCTCAAAGGTGATTCCGCGGTGAGCAAAATAAGCGCGGATTGGCCCGTTGACATATTCTTTGCCGTTGTCGCAACGGAAAGACTTGGCACGTTTGCCCACTTGGGTGTGAATGAGTTCGACGTACTGCTGGATCTTAATCTGGACTTCAGATTTGGCTTTCATGAAGTAGATGACAGATCTGCGTGTAGCGGCATCGGTGAATGAGACATAATACTGTGCACCGTTGATCCCCTTGACACGAGATGGTCCCCAGACATCAGTGTGCGTCAAATCACCAATCTCCTTGTGCTCAGTGTCAGATTTAGTCGGAAACGGCGCAACATGTGATTTTGCTTTGACACATGTCTGACAGAAATCAGATGGTAGTGTGGATTCGTCGACAGTCATGCCCTCAACCATTCCCTTCTCCTTCAGCATCTTTACGGATTTGAGTTGGATGTGACCAAGGATGCGGTGCCATTTATCCCACGAATGTGCAGGAGATCTGGCAGCGGGGAGAGCAGTGTCGGAAGAAGGGGCCGAAGATGACATGTGGCGGTGCGTGATGCGCATGCGGAAGAGGTTGCCGGCCCGTGTTCCACGGAATATTTCACGGGGTTTGGCATCCAGAGTGAAAACCTTCATTATCTCCCCCTGGAACTGAACAGAAAGTCCTGCCTTTGTCATTGCTCCGATAGAGAGCAGGTTGAATGGAGCAGTGGGGACATGGAGTACGTTGTCGAGTCGGAGTTTGTAAGCCGAGTTTCCGACATGTGACGTGATGTTGACAGTTCCTTTTCCAGGACTTGGTGATGATCCAAATCCTTCGACGGTGTGGTGCGGGGTCTCAAAATAAGAGGAAAAGTGTGTTTTGTTTCGTACTATGTGTTTAGTAGCGCCGCTATCTGCCAGCCAGATGTCTGTGTGTGAGTCCGTGAGTCGCGGGAGAGCCATTAGTGCGTAGTCATCAACTTCAGAATTGTTCCCTTGATCCTGGCTGACATGTGCCCAACTAGGATTTTTTCCGCTCTTCCCACCGTCTCCCCGTGCATTCCTTTCTTTTTGTTCTTTTGTAAATGTCTTGCCTGCCTTTGTATCGCGACAGTCGGCAATGACATGTCCGGGTCTGCCACATCCGAAGCAAGATATGTTGCCGTTATACTTGGCCTTCGAGTTCTTGCCTTTGCCTTGGAAACGGTTACGTACGGCAAGAGCGACTTCATTCGCTTCGGATCGGCTGGTCATCTGATGTTGCTGTTCGAGAATGCGGGCAATGAGTGGAGCAGGAGTGGTGAGGGCAGAGGTGTCAACGCCGCGGATGAATGAGTCCCAGGAGTCGGGGAGAGATGTGAGGAGGATGATGCAGAACTCTTTGTCCTCGACTTGGGAGCCGAGGGCCGAGAGCTGCGTGCGAATGGAGGTAAGTGTACGAATATGATCTTCGATGTCAGCGCCATCAGCGCATGTGGTACGTGAAAGTTTGCGGCGCAACAGAACAATGCCGATGACACCCTTTGACTGATAGGTGGCCATCAACGTGTCCCATGCGGCCTGCGAAGTTTTTGCGTCCGTGATATATATGAGTGGCCCGTCCGCAACGCGCAGTCGGATTGCAGATAGAGCACGGCGGTCCTTCTCGGACCAGGCAATGACAGTGGCATCGCTGTCAGGTAAGGCTGGTTTGGGGATAGTCCCGGATGGGTAGCCGTGAAGACCCATGTCTGTCAAGATGTCCGTCATCTTGACAGTCCACGTCTGGATGTTGTCCTCGCCAGTGAGGTGCTGGATGCGATAGGCGGAGGATGCTGCGTCGCTAGACATATTGTGTCAAATGTCAATTGATTAAAGTGTGAGGGGCGAATCTGTTTGCGCGGATCAGGCGGAATCCTAGTAACGCAGTTGTGGAGTGAGAGCGACGAGAAAGTTTTTCGAGAGTCAGTCAGTTAAGGCCGGGGCCCATAACCTATTGAGAATGTAAGGAGAGAACTTATATTATTCTGTAGACTACGTCCTGTATATATACTAAATATCTACATTATCTAGAAGGTGGTGGAACAAGCCAGAGGGCGGTAGTAAGATAAGTAATGATAAGTAATTGCTCATTACTTATCATTACTAATGACTAATGCGATCGTCAACAATGTGTGTTCATCTGGTCGCTCCACATTTGATTGGCCAGCAGGGGCTGGCGCACCCCCGCAGTCAACCCTGCCCAATCCCCTGCAAGAATTGTATTCACAAGGTTTCTGCACAATTCTTTGTCAGGGTTCTGTGTATTAGCACACTCATTACAGTGTCTCAATGTGATGTTCACAGGTTATATTCAATCCAGCAAATGATGCTTGTAACAGCTGCATCAAATATGCTATTAAAGAGAGTGAAACATTGGAGATGCAGTCATCCTTAAAAAGCAGGAGGACCACTTCAGCTGTTCGGAAGGGGAGCAGTAGCCATGACTATTCCTGCTGATCAATGTAGCTGTGACTGGACAACCCCCTTGGGGGATTTGCTGAACACATGTGGTTGCACATTTTTTAATATGTTAGCATCTTTTGAAGCCACAAACTCCACCAAAATGTACTGGCAAAACCATGCTTTAATCTCCTACCCCCCACCGAAACATTGGTAAATCACATGACTTGACCTGGAGACCCAGCCAAAACATGCGGGCAATGTTGTGTATCTTTATCCCCCATTCCCTGCCAAAATAGAGAAAAGTTACGTGATATTCTACAACCCTAGCCAGAGTAGATACATCAAAATTTTGTGTAATCCACCCCCACCAGACCCCGCATCAGACCCTGCACCAGACCCCGCACTGGGCCCTGCATCAATTGCAATATCCAGTTACACATCTTCACCTTCCCTATTGGCTTTGTCTACCTTGATAAGATATTTCATAAATGTTTGTATTCTTGCCCTGGTGGTCAGCAGCACTACTGCTACGGCTAAAGGAGGTCAAATATAGAATATGCCAGACTGACCCCGCAGCAGACCCCGCCAGATGATGGGATCAAGCGCATCAACAATCCTATTGTGCAGGGTGCATTTGGGGTTTTCTAAGCTCAAATGCATGGTCAATTAGTGTATTTACCTATGGAAATTACTGTACCGTGCCAATCAAATCGTCAGGGGGTGTGATGCGTGACACAAAAGATCAATTCGTCAATTCGTCAGGTCCCCCATGACATGTGACATGTTGATTTTTTCGTCAGGTCATGCATTCACCTCCCTATGAGTTGCTTGCAACTTGATCTGAAGCTATCTGTGTGATAGCCCCACACAGACTCAAAACAACACAGGGAAGGGTACACAAGTATTTTTAACACTTCAGCTGAACCCCACAAGCCTTATTTATTTCCGAACGGAAAAATGAATTCGTCACCTGAGCATGTGATGCGTGACATCAAAACAAATTTCGACTTCGTCAGGCAGCCTGTGACGCGTGACTGACGATTTGATTGGCACGGTACAGTATACTGGGATGATTTAGAGAGGCTTCCATTTTTTTTTTGGTGGAAAATCACGTGATTTTGCGCCCACTGTCTGCCACAACATGCAATCTATCAAGCAGCACCTCCAAAATCATGCCAAATGGTGTGAAAAGGGACCCCAAAAAGTCACGTGATAATGCGCCCACTGCCCGCTGCAGTGTGCGGGAGGGGCGGTAGCGCCCCCGCCAACGCCCCCGCCAACCCCCGCCATTTTGAAATTTTTCCTGCAGCTCATCACGTGATTTTCCCGCCATCCCGCCCATTTGGTGCATCATGTGATTGATTTTTTTTTTCCCGCCCAGCTGCCCGCTCTTATGGACAAGTCACATGGTATGTATGGGCACCCCTGTCCTGACCCCCGTCCTGACCCCCGCCCATCCCCCTGCCCCAAAATGGCCAGCTGCCCCCTGTACCCCCGCGGGGTCTATACGGGGGGTTGGCGGTGGTAACTGAGGTGCTGACTGCAACCGTGCGACATATGCCAGTGGCTAGTGTTATCGACAAACATATCTGTCAACTCACGCACCCCGCGACGCTTTGACCGGGAACTTAGCTGAGGATATCACTGCACACTGCTCGCGGAAAACATTCTACGGACGTTTGTACCACATACACACTATACCAAGTATGCGGCTGTTTCTATTGATGGCTACTGAGCAGTCGGGTAGTCTGTGTAGCCTCTAGGCGAGTCCTCTCCTTGTAGATAGAACAAATTGCGATCGTATGGTGTGAAAGGGATGTTCTTCTCCAGCCGGTCAGGTAGATCAGGCTGGGGAGCATGGTCAGTAAGCCGGAGCGACACAGAGTGAGATCGACGCACGTTAGAGATGTAATGACGTCCGAAGCAGACCAGCACACCGTCCTTCTCCGTAGCCTTGAGGGCCTTCTCTCGCGTCAACGCCCCAGCAACGACAAGCGGTCTCGGAGACCACAGCGCCGCCAGTGGGTCGTTCGATTCTTCGGGCGTCTCTTCATCCACCGTCGCGCTCCCTGAGATACGAGGCTCGACGAGATGCAGGTACGCGAGGTCCGGATGTCTCTTGGCCAGCTCCGAGATGACGTAGGAGAACGTGGGGAGCGGGTCGGCCATCTTCATGCCCTGGAACAGCGACCAGGGACTGAAGCGGATGGCAGTCCGATCCGCGCCGATCGCCGAGCTCACAGCATCGACGATCTCGAGCGTCAACCGCGCCCGATTCTCGATGCTCCCGCCGTACTGGTCCGTCCGCCTGTTCGACACGTCCTGCAAGAACTGGTCGATGAAGTAGCCGTTCGCGTCTAGAGTGCGGCGTCATCATCATCATCATCTGTGGACGCCGCGGCGGGATCCAAAAACGCGACCGTGACGCACTGTGCAGCTCGACCCCGTCGAATCCAGCCTCCCGCGCATTCTTCGCCGCCTGCGCGTACAAGCCGACGTACTCCTGCACCTCGGCCGTCGAGAGCGCACGCGGGACATCGCCTTCGCGCCCGGGGATAGGCACATCGGACGCGGAGACCAGGTCGAAGGCGGGGTTCTCCTCGCGCAGCACGGCCGGAAGCGCGCCGCGTCCGAGCGCCCAGAGCTGCATGAAGATGTGCGACCCCTGCGCGTGCACCGACGTCGTGACCTGCCCAAGAGATGAGTCACACCAAGTCTCCGAGACGCACGATGCGGCTGCCGCTGGTGATCACACACCTCCTTCCAGGCAGCGATCTGCTCTTTGTTCCAGATCCCGGATACGTTGCTGTACCCCCCGGCCTGGGGCGCGATGAAGACACCCTCTGAGATGAGGAGCGTCCCGGGGCGGCTCCCGCGCTGCGTGTAGTAGTCCTTGACGAGCGGGAGGAACGGGACGTGCTCCTTGCTGGCCTTGTATCGAGTTAGCGGTGCAAGCACGGCCCGGTGCTGCAGCGTAACGGGTCCGACTGCAATGGGCTCGAAGAGATGCGAGGTGGAGGAGGAGGAGGACATGAGGGACGGCGGGTTGGATGTTCAGTGAAGTTTGTGGCCATCTTGACCGCTCTTATATTCTTCCAGGTGGGTGTCATGGATTATCAAGCAGCCCTTCCCCTCAGACCGGTCCGGAGAGTGGCCGGAAGGCTCAGTCAGCGTCTCAGTCATTGGACGGCGAGGGAACGGAGAGGGTACAGCGAGTTGGCAGCGAAGAACTTGCTGAAATGGGTCTGGCGGTCGAAGGCAGCACGTTGGCGGAAGACAATCGTGAAGCCGATGGTCTCGGGGATGTCATCACGTCACGACATCATCCCCGTGCAATGATATCCCCGTCTCAAGTACTAGTTTGTAGTAGATGATCCATTGCCTGATTTGATAGCGGAAGCAAACCTCTTGGAATGCATCTTCAAACTGAAACTCGTTACTTGAAACTCACTCAGAAAGGACCTGCTCTTCACAATGAGCGGTCGTTTTGCAAGCACCAACTTGTCCAAGGAACCTCCATCAGTTTACTCCTTCATGTTTGCTTCTGAAGCGTATGTTACATAAACGGAAGTCTCGAGATGTACATGGGACCAGGTTCTACCAATCAGGGAAACATACTTGATCGATTTAATCAGTCAGCTTACAAACCTTTGGGCCCTAGCATATGCTTGGTAATGAATCTGATAACTGTGAGAAGGGAACCCGAAACTGACTAGCAGCACATCTCACCGCGACGGATCATACTTGGCGTATATCTTTTTAAGCAGATCGTAATGTTCGTACGTTGCAAAGACCTCCTGGTTTGCATGGCACTCGTTGACATAAAGAGGCAGGCCTTTGCTCTGAGCAGCTCTGCGGAAGCCATCAGCAACTACCGGATATCGATCACAAGACACTGACTCCTGCAGCATGCGCTGGAAACCCGCGTCCGCATCAGCAGGCAACGTCGAGACACCGGCAGGATACACGAGGTTGTAGTTGATAGCGCCGTACGACACACCCGGGTTTCCGACCAGGCTCTTCCCGTTCCGCGACGCCCGCCACTGCACTTCCGGGATCGGCGACACGATCAGGAATGCACCGTGAAGCTTGGAGCCGTACTGAGCCGCGAAGCTCTGCAGTTTCTGATAGCCCGCCCAGTACGCGGCTTCGTCGCCCACCCACGCGGAGCCACCGAACTGGTTGCCGTTCCCGCGTCCGTTGCCGGGGATCAGCATTTCGATGTCGTAGTAGCTAAGGGGCGAGAATGCCGGGCTCGCGCCTGGGATCGCGAGAAAGTCGCCGAAGATGGATTTGGGGAGGGAGCTGCCTTGGTAGAACATGTATGCGATGTTGGCCGGAGTCGGAAGAACGTTCATGAGAGAGATGAGGCCTGCATGTCCTTGTTAGTCGAGAACGAGGCAGGGATGCAGAGCGAACCAGCTTTGGGGTCCTTGGTTTCACGGATGTACTTTGCAGTCGCGTTGCTGAACGCCTGCGCCTGGTCACCCGGGAACTAAGTAGATGCGATCTGAGCCACGATTGCGCCGCCAAGTAGACTCTCATTAGCGCACCGTAATGATCCCACCGTACCACCTCTTGTCATCCTTCGTGCCGGTCTCCGCCACGTACAGCTCGTAACGAGTAACAATCCCGAACCGATTGGCGCCAACTTTGAGCGCCTGGAAAAGATCGCCGTACGCGTTCGTCTCGGAGGCAGTCACCATCTTCCCAGTGGGCAGCACGACATCCATCTCCTTGATCAGGTCGGAGGACCAGCCATACAGCGGAGAAACAAAGCTGATTCCGCCGCCGAGAAGCAGGCCCGTGCCGATGTCGCTGGCAGCACGGAATCAGAAACCTGATCCCCGGAGCGTCACGCAACGACATACCTTGCACGACCACCGACCACCGAGACCCCATGCGATTGCACCGCGTCGAGGGCATCGCCCCAGTGCACGCCGGGCTGCACAGTTGCTGTCTTGCTGTGGGGGTCGTACGCCGTCGAGTTCATGTGCGAAAACGCGATCAGCACGCCGTTGGTGATACTGCATTCCGAGTGACGTGAGCAAGCCAAGAATCCACCGCGGTGGCCAATACACTCGCCTATTCCAGCCAATCATGGCGCTGTGCCCGCCCGACTGCAGAGAGTACCTGGACCCGAACTGGTAGATGCTGGCCATCGCCGCTTGAACGTGCGTCGACGTGCGCGGATACACGATGCACGTCGGGTGCGTGCGGGAGTTGAAGAGACTCCATGTGTCCGCGGCGGTGTGCGTGTACTCCGGCCCGCTGCTCGCGACAATCGACGGGCCGAGCGTCTGCCGCAGTGCCGCGCAGGCCTGCTTTGCCGCGGAGAGCGTGTCAGCGCTCAGGTCGGGCTGGACGCTCGGGGAGGACCCGGCGCTGAGAAGCGGCAGGCCCAGTGTGAGGATGTGCAGGAGTGGGGACATCGTGGGATGTTTCCGCGGGGGAAATCAGCGCTCAGGGCTTCTTCTAGTGTGGCCTCTTGCGCGCACGCACTTATATAGCCTCTCTGATGCCCCCCCCACTACATCTTTGGCCCGGGCTCTCTTGCAGTCGCGGCCCCCGAGAGAGAGAGAGACGAGACGATATTCAGGAACATTGAGCTGGGCATCCGGATTAGTTGGCGGGCTCGTTTGACAGAATCTGCGGTTGCGGTTACCAATTTGTGGGCGTGGGTGGCACCGCTAAAGGTGCCATAAGATGGTCGACTTGGTGAACCCGGCAAGCACCCCTGGGTACGGCAGACAAATGGAACGTGTAAAATTTCTCGGGGCCACTTCCCTGCTGCTTTCGACGCTGAGCGCCCGCGCAGAACCCGTAGACTGTAGATCAGCTCGAGAGTTCAGCCCAAGAGAAGTTATCACGTGTGACGGTGTACTGTATGTATTGGATAATCATCGTCACTCCTTTTGATTCGGACTTCGATTACGGTGCTTGACCCACATGACAATTGTGAGCCGAGAGCCCCAAAGGCTTGAAGGGAGGAGCTGGGCCGACCGCTTACCATCCAACGTAAGATGGACAAAGAGCCGGCAACGCTCCCCAAATTTCGTTCCCCCCTGCCTCGTCTCTTCCTGAAACCGTGGCTGTCCACAACACAGTGGCACCGACACGAGGAATGCTATCACGAGAGCTCGATGATCCAGCCCGTCTATAAATTTCGAAAGGTCGGTTCGAGGGAATCACATTCGGGCTACATAGACATCTGAACTTTTCAGCAGAAGCACTTAGGCGAGACACGATCCCTGAAAAATCTAGACGCCATCTTGTTCCGAGGAAGCATGCGGAGGACTGCAGACGGACCGAGGGAGTACCTACCAACTCAACAGTCGTGTGCGGCACCACCTCACACAATTGTCTCCGCGCGAGCCACTGTACGGCATGGCTGAGATGCCCTTGCTTTTTGCTTATAAGGAGGTGACGCCGACAAGCCATCCGCCCGCTCTTCTCTCCGAAACTTGGTCTTTTTGACTGGCGTTATTTCCACTCCTTTTCTCCTTACGTCATGTCTTCAGCGTTCTATAACACCCTCGGTACGCCCCTAGCATATTATCATGCATCCGTCCAGTCAGTAAATGTCCCATAGGCTGTATCCTCGTGGGAATGATTCGTATGTTTCTCTGCTTTTCCACACCGGCGATAACGAATGAAATTGGCAGTCAACACCTGTCTCATGGGCGTGCTCATTCCTCACTTCTACAGATATTGGGCGACAAGTGTGTGGCTCTCGGATCCCCTCCAGATTGCTTCCAGCTCAGAGACAATGGACAGAATTCAATGATCCACTTTGGATCAAGCTCTTCGTGTTGTTTCTGTTCCTTTTCAATGCGAGCCAGACTGCGGCTGTATGTTATCTGACCTGGTGAGCCTCGCATCTGCTCCGTGAATCGAAAACTGATCAAGTTCAAGGTTCTTCATGGTGGAGTGGGTCGTCTTTCCGAGAGACCGGGAGCCCACTGTTCAAAATATCATCTGCTAGAAACTTCACGAATAAAGCCGCAGTGCAAAGTGTGTTGCTTTATCTCATCCAGAGGGTGCGGATCGCTGATTGATTTTCCATCGCAGTCGACCTGTGGCCATTTCCGTATACTGCGATCAGCAAGTGGCCGCTCAAAGTCAATTCACAAGGACTCAAACCTTTCGCAGGCACAGCCATCCTGGCCCTCATTTTCCAAGTATTCCAGACCTGGCGGATGTATGCATTCAACAAAAACAAACCGCTCGCTCTTTTCCTCGTCGCCGCTGCACTGGCGACCTGCGGGCTCGGCGTCGCTGCGGGAATCCGGTCGTGGATCCTGGCCGAGTGCGCGGTTCCCGTTTACTGCGCTCGATTAAGTTTCCCTGAACGCAGTACTTGGCTAGTCTCAAGAAGCTATTCGTTCTGGGACCCATCGTGAAGGCGAACCTGGCTATGCAATGTGGGCTCGACATCTTCATCGCCGGTGCGTACGGACCCATCGACACGGCTCGGTGTTGATGGGGGAGGCAACAGCCGCTCTGAGCGTCATCTTCGAGCGTTCCAAGACGTCGCTCAAGCGCACGGACCAAGTCCTCAACCGTCTCATACAGACCGCTGTCCAATCTGGGTTTTTCACCGGTGTGGAACGAAACATTTCGGTGGCTGGTTGGCTCATATCATGGCTGTCCTCAGCCGTCTTTGCATTGGGGTCTCTCTTCGCTTTCCACTTCGGCCCTCGCACGTCTGTGATCTCCGTGTTCGCGTTGCCCATCGGGCGCATATACACTCACGTGCGTCCAATCGATCGAGTCCCCGTCCTCTGAACTCAAACAAGACAAAAAAATCAACCGCAGACACTGATGGACCACTTCACCAGCCGCCTCGAGCTGCGCCGGCTGCTCAACAACGACGGCAACGTCATCACGATGCCACAGTTCGCCGGCCCTCACGAGCGCACGGGAGCCGTGGACACGATAATGTTGTCGAATGCGCGCTTGAACGCGTCCGAGAGCATGGAGCACATCGGTAAATCGGACTTGAACATGAGTGCCGTCGAATTCAGTAGACCTGAGCCTGATGTGTAGGCAGAATGATCGACTTGCATGGACAATGGCATCTCCGTAGCGGATATATTTCTGAGACGATCCAAAGGAGTAATTATATCTTGCTGTATTCGGGCATGAATTGCTCGGAGCAGGTTGCCTTGCTTGTCAAGGCACTCTCCACACTCATAATTCGCTCTTTTTGATGGCCTTGTTGATCCGGTGACGCTGTTCCGTGTTCTCCCGAGGCGTGCGTGGCTTACAATGGTACACTCGACCACACACGCGTCCCATAATCGACCACACACGCGTCCCATCAAGCACGCTCCATCCTTTTTTGTTCGTGCACTTCATGTTCGCGTCTTCAATATAGCGTTTTAAACGGTTATAACTATTTTTATTTTCATTTTGTTTAGGGCATGGTCTACACAATAAACAAAAATTTAGTAAATGTTTAAATGGTTTCTTCTGGGGCTAACTGATCCTGTGTCTTAACTTCCCTGCACACTTGTCCCTAGTCTCTTTTACTGAATTCCCGCTCATACCTCGTTCCTAAACATGTCTCACACCGCTGCCACAACTTAATTCAATTTACTGCTGACTTGCTCCTGCTCATTGCTCATCCAATTGACCCTGCACATGCAGCTCCCCGCCTTGCTGGATTGCTTCAGTCTTTGAAATTTTTAGTTCCCTCTATTGTATTCGTTCATTTCATCTTAATCTAGATCTGTTTCCTCATTTAATACACCGCTGATTTCGTATTTTCCTTTTGCCTCAAATAACTAATCGTTTAAAAGGTTTTAAACAGTTTCTTAAACATTTGTAACCGATTTCATTTATTTTAGGGCCAGTGCTACTTTCACAAAAGAGAAAAGGTTGGAACTCTACGCGATTATGCATAGTTACTTATCATTGGCATGCAATGTCATTGTATGTTACTCAAGCAAGGCATTCAGTCGCCAAGGGCGACGCTTTCTAGTGACAAACGACAAAGAGGTGATGGCGGGTGGACACGTGATCCGCCGTGTCCCGATTGACAACGCTCTAGATCTTGGTCTTCTTTGTCCACGCACTGGATCTTTCCTGACTTGATCCTCAAACCATCGAATTCGCTCCAAGAGGCTGGAGGCTACACTTGAAGGTCCACCACCACCAGGCACCGCCAGTTGGCAGACGAAATTGTGATGACTCCCGTCCCCACCCTCGCATCCACTCGCCTCTATCTATGCAGGATGGCGATCGCAGCTGCTCTGTCAATCAGCTTGTTCAAAGCGCATCAGACAATGGGTGCGCCTTGACAAAGGGACCATGACGCGAGGCTTGCTTGATGCATGGCTTTGATTTGGATGGACTGCCTTTTCTGGAGTTCAATGGCTGGTCTGCGGTATGTCGGGCACGACTATAAAGCTCGCAGGCCCCCGAGTCTGGTGACACGGCTATCCATCACTGCCCTTTGCATTCCAGCCGACGCGCAAGACACACCGATCATGCTCTCTTCAAAGTCTTACCCGGGCAACTCACCTCCTCCGCCCACCCAAACAGCAGATGTGCGTGACGCCCGTGTTTCCCTGATCTTTAGTGTAGTCTGAAGCTCGGGATTCAGCTCCCAGACGAGAATGCCCAGAGCTGGATGCGCTTCCAAGCGCGAATGCGTGAACCGGTCTGTGACTGTTACATGATTCGTGCCACCGCTCACTCGCTTACCTCTACCCACAGGAGGCTCAAGAATGGCTTGCGGCGTTTGAACAGCGGTCTCCCCGCGCCTGGATCCTCACCGATGGCGAGACGGGAAAATTCGTGCGTATCGACAAGCTGGTGTGCACTCAGCACCTCTGCTCACCGTTCCGCTGTATGTAGATCCTCTTCGAACCCGGCGGCCGCCCACGAGCCCCAAAGCACGCCCCCGCCTCCGGGCGCAGATCCAACAACAACAACAAGACACGTCCCCGGCCCGCGCCGGGGTCGACGCTCGCGGCGCCGGTCAGCGCGGCCGAGCTGGGCGTGCTGGAGGCTTTCGAGCGGCAGCTGGCCGATGGGCGCATCACGGCGGAGTTCTTCCAGGTCGTGCTGCTCGTGCACACGCTTTCCGCGCAGGAGACGGATGGGATCGCGCGTGAAGCGAGCGCGGGGAAGCGCCGCAAAAAGATCCCGGGCCCTGATGCTACTTGGAAGCAGCACCAGCAGCAGCATCAGCAGCCACAGCAGCCGGGGCAGATTGTGCCCAAGAAGCCGATTCGTCTTCCTCAGTTTAAGCGCGTTGTCCGCCAAGACCAACAGGAGCAGCAGCAGCAGCAGCCGGAGCGCGATCCCGACGCCCGGCGCTGGTATCACCCGATCCTGTTTGTCCTCGGGCTGTACTGTGTGTTCACGCTCGTGCCCCCGCTGGTGTGCATCCGCTTTGCATGGAAGCCGCTGCTGATTCTCTGCATCTTCTCCTCCGGGGTGATGATGCTGGCCGACCTCTGAGTTGTTTTCGCCAGTCCGCTGTTACCGTGATCTCACCGCACGCATTGATAATATGCCGTATCTGACCATCCGCTCACTTATGTACATACTGCTATGCAATGCCACACGTGTACTTCATTTCGCTGCTTTGTCAGTGGCAATGCGCTCGAAATCTGCGCGCTCGCTCAGCGGGCCCGTCGGCCCGCCGCTTTGCCGGAGGCATAAACCGCTCGCCTAGCGAGGTCTGCGAGATCGAAACGGACTCTGGTACCCGTAATTATATAATATGTGGAGCGCTTGACTCTAGTGAACACATGAAGAGTGGATGCAGGAGGTTGGGAGGGGTGCCAAGCTGAGCCGGCCCTGGAGATGTCTCGCTTCTATTCCTGTGCCGACCCGATGCTGTTCAATCACGATTGCACGATTGCTCTGAGTCGAAAATACACGAACACCGATAGAAGAAACACTGCTCGCAGCCCGAAAAAAATCATCTAGGTTCCGAGTTCTGGGTGCCTTCATCTCCCGAAAGGATTATCGTGAGCGCGTGCGAGTGTGTTGTAGGCACCAACGGGGCATGTAAGGCCACGTTTCCTCGCAAGTAATAGCCCGTAATAGCCTCGTAATCGTGGAGAGCGGTGGGCGCCCTGGGGCCTGAGTGGGCCATAATTATCCCGGCCTCCCACATATCGATGAGGGATTTTTTGTTTCCGCTGATGCCAAAGCGAGAATTTGAAGTGCTAAATGCAGGCTATTGCCGGTCGTCATGATTCACGACGGGGATCCAACGCACGTGGCCGCGTAGCACCCGGCCCGAGAGAGGCCGAGCCGTGCCTTCTACGTAATCTTTTCCCGGCCAATCTCGGATCCTGATCTTTGCTGGTGGACGCGACGACGCGCGCGCCACCCACACAGCAGCTCCTGGCCTTGCAGCCTTGTTTGCGGGCCCCTGCAGCGGGGAGGAGGACGGCGGAGCGTGCCGCCGTGTTACGTGAGCGCGTCGCGGTGTGCCTGATCGCCGGACCCAAACAACAAAAAAAAAACGCAGTTGACTCCGAGAGGCAACCGCGCCATTAAGCACCCCCATCCGATACTGAAAAAAATGCATCCGTAGATACCGGCGCGCGCGCGCGCGCAGATAGCCCAATTTGTCCTCCGCCCGGAACCTAGCCTAGCCCTGCATAGCGACGGGAAAACTATGAGCTCGTATCGACTGGTATCGCGGGGGGGGGGCTCGATTAAGTATATATTTTCGGCGAAATTCCCCACGGCCCCCGCTCCATTCATTCTGCCCCTCTGGACCGCCATTCCCCGCCCGGCGCCCGCCCATACCCATCCTCCCTCCCTCCCTCCCATCCACCCGACCGCACGTGTCCCCGCCCCGCGGAGAGCCCCAACAGCAGCAGCAGCAGCAGCCCATGCAAGCGTACGACTTCGAATCGGAGCGGCTGACGAAAGGGACGATCCGCTCCGCGGACGACGGCTCGCGCCGCTGGACGCTCGAGACGACGCGCCAGACGTTCAACGGGCGCAGCAAGACGACGATCGAGAACCGCGCGGGGACGCTCGTCGGGACGATCGACTGGCGCGAGCGCGTGTTTGAGATCGCCGGGAGCGCGTTTGGGATCGACGTGCTCAAGCGGAAGGTGTCGAATTTCTCCGCGTGCGTGGGCTTGCGGCTCGTTTTTTGTCCGCCCGTTCCCTGCTTCCTCGGGGACGTGTCCGCTCATCAGCTCACCGCGCTCTCTCCTCAGGACCCGGTACTGGCGATGGAAGAGCGGCGAGGAGTACAAAGTGCGGTACTCCAACACGGACGACGCATGGCAGGTGAATCTGCACCACGACGCATTCTCACAAGGCGCACTTGCTCACCCGCGCGCAGGCGTCCTTGGCGACGGGCGAAACGGTCGGCGAGCTCAAGTCGAGCATCACGCCGCTGTTCCGGGAGCCGAGCCTGCCCGTGCTGCGGCTGTCGTCGACGATCCGGGACGACGAGGAGCGCGTGTTCATGCTGATGCTGCTCGTGTATTCGGAGATGAAGCGACTCGACAGGCAGGACTGACCAGCGTCCTCGGCCTCGGGCGGGTACGTGTACGGCACGGTCCGTGCAGCCCTTTCTCGTCGCCCGGTGCACACCGCCTGACGCGCACGCAGAACAGTCATGGATCGAACGACTACACAGACGAACGGCATGGCTACTTTTTACAGGCACTCAGCATTTATATCACCACTACTTCCATTCTCCAATACTTAGTACTGTATCCACCACCGTTCCTGCTTACGGCAACCGTAGTATGGTAGGCATATAATGCACCTGCGCAGCGCAGGCCCCAATCTAATCATCTGTCACATCTTATCTCCCATCGATGATCTAATCTGTGCGCCGATGTGACCTCAAGCACACGGGGGACTGTCTCGGAACGTATGTGAAAATGGCACACGGTTTTGTGCACTCGGCATACGCGAGTAAGTACGGCGCTGTATCACCGACACAAGCATCGGATGAATGCCTACCAAGTTACTCGGACATTCGGGCACTCGGGCTCCTCCCCACCTGGTCGGCTGACCGCGGAGTGCGTCAGATGTGTATCACGCCGGCCTTGCCAAGTGCTCACTCAACACATACATACATACATAGCACTTCAGCCCCGCTGAGTCAGTCGGCGTGGAGTCCGGGCCACCTCGCCCCATGGCGCAAACTGCGTGTGTGTGTCTGCATCTGTTTCAAGCATGCACTGTAGATTGCAGGAAGTATGTAGATCCCCATCCGACCTGGCGCTTCTCACGGCCCAGATAGGTCCTCCGGCGCACACAGATGTTTTCACATGTCCGAGTCACAACGGGCCGCGGTGATAGAGGATATGTCGTAGCGAAGGAGATCATTGCAGAAGCACCCTGAGCCGGACGATCTTGGCTGTGCAGCGATCCTCTGCGCTGACAAGTATCCAGCTACATGGTAACAGAAGCTTCTCTGGGCCAGTGTGCAGAGGGTATGTGCGGGAGATAACGAGTGGTCAGATATCAAAGAAGTGCTTCCAAGCATAGCCCATGTACAGTATCGAGCTCCCAGGAAATCGAAGCGTTTCGATAACCAGACGTCAGATATCGAGCAAGGGGGGACAAACCTGGAATAGCCCGTGTATCGAGGTCCTAGGAAAAGGAAGTCGTTTCAGCGCCACTTTGCATCTCTCAAGGACGCCGTGCGTGAACGATAGATAGGCACTGCGGCGAATGGTCACTGAACACTTGCGGACCACTGAAGGCTCAAACAAAATGCATTTCAGCAGTGGGCACACGAAGCGCGACTTGAGAGCAGAAAAGGCATTTAAGTATATAGGATACGATACAACAACAGCTCGTCTGCTGTGCACTACTACAACAACAACAACCGCAAGCACAACAAGCGGCGCGCAAGTTTACTTCCACGTCGACGGCCCGAAGAACCCAGCGTCCGGGAGCGGCAGCAGCGGCAGCCCCGCACCGTCGGCGGTGTTGAGCCACACGTTGTTGCCCCACCACGCCTGGATGGTGTTGAGCCCGATCGTGCCGTTCTTCGGGTACTGGAGACAGAAGAAGATCAGGATCGCAGCGACGGCGACACCCGAGTCCATCGCAGCCGACAGCACGTCTGAGAGGAAAGGGAAAAGGGAATCAGCATATGCGCCTGGAACGGGAGAGTGGGGGGGGGGGGAATGCGGCTCACAGTTGTACTTGGTCCACCACGCGAAATGCCTGCGGCGGATGACGTACTGGAAGACGAACCCGACGATGGCCCAGGTGATGTAGTTGTTCGAGTTGGCGGGCGGGATGAGGCCGGTGCCCGAGTAGATCACGGGGAAGTTCACGTAGCGGATGAAGCTGTGCGGCCACTTGAGCGTGATCAACCACGCGGCGAGCGGTGTCAGGAATCCGATAAGGAAGAAGTACGTCAGGCCGTAGTACAGCTGACCCTTGGAGACTGGTTGCGCGCGCGAAAAGGAAAAGGAAAAGGAGAAGGAAAACAGATCAGTTTAGCTTCTGGGACAGTTGCCACGACGCACAGATCTTGGCCGGGCCAATGACACCCCACAGAATCGAGGCAGTGCCGAACACCTGGGTCGAGGGGCACCAGAATCCATCCTTCTGCGGACGGTGGCACATGCCCTCGATGTTGCTGAACATCCACGATTGCACGCCAAGCTGCACGGTGCCGGCGACGACGGTGGCGATGACCTGGGCGTGGAACTGCGGCGCATGTGAGCACTCCACCAGACGACAGTGGCACACGTCAGACGCACCATGGAGCGGGGCGGGATCTTCATGTAGTGGCCGAGCTTGAAGTCAGAAGTGAATGTCAGCGCCTGGGCCATGGTGATGTAACCCCATGTCTTGAACATCATCATAGCGACGGGACGGCCGGGCAGCGAGTACCTGCACGACGGATAGTCAGCACCCACAACACACACACACACACGGAATGGCAGGCAAAACGCACCCGATGATGAGCTCGGTGATGACATTCAGCCCGACTTGCTGGTTGGTGATAGCCTGGATCATGCCAATCGGAATGACATACACGAACGAGATGGCGAGGGCGAGGATGAAGTACTGCACGGGGAACTTGGTGTCCCAGACGGTGATCGCGACGACACCGGCAACGAACATGGTCACCAGGATGATGCTGTACCACCACTCGGGCACCTGCGGGTACACCGCCATCAGGCGCGCGTGGATGTCCGGCTGCTCGTGCATCGAGCGGCGCGCCTGCGTCCAGATCTGCTTGCGGAAGAACAGGAACGCGTGCGTGATCGTCGCGGTGATCGACGCGAACGAGAGGCCGTACGCCAGCGCGAAGGTCGTCGACAGGTACAGCGGAGAGTAGGCTTGGTACTTGGCCTCGTCGAACGTCTGCCAAGCGCGTCAGCGACAATGCAGGGCTCTGGAGACAGGGACGTACACCCTGATCGTTGAGGATGGCAGTGACGTTGTAAGGGCTTCCAGTGTTGTCATACGAACCCGAAGTGGAGATGGGCATGTACTTGCTGTACCACGCATTGGTGAACTGGAAACATACACCCCATCAGCAAACGTAGATCGCAGAGAACACAGACCACGCACGTAGAGGATGGGCGTGAGGAACCAGAAGAAGAACAGGAATCCGCCGAGAACGTTAGCCTCAGCCCACCAGGGCGTGGCAAGCGGGGAGCCGGTGTAAGCAATCTGCGCCCAGTCGAAGGTAATCAGACCCATGGCAAGACCATTGTTGACACCGAACAGCTGGTTGACAACAAGGTTGTTCGGCTTGATCCAGCACACCCAGGAGAAGAACGACAGGGCAGTGAACAGGTAGCCTGTCAACCCCAGAAACGTCAGCGAGCAGATCGGGCAAGGCACACACGACAGACGGCACGCACCAGGGACAAAGTACCAGGCGACACCGCATCCCCAGGCGATGTAGAAGAACTTTTCACGCGACATGCCCCCGCGGGTACCGACACCGGCGTACTGCTGCGCGTGCAGGGTGTTGAACAGCGCGCAGGTGACGAGGTTGTACGGCCAGATCATCGACGGCGGCTGCACGAGGAAGCGACGAGCGATACCGCCGATGGAGAAACCGATGAGCTGCGTCGACATGACCACGAGCCACTGGTAGCCGAAGTTGTAGTTCTGGTGGTAGAATACGCGCTGCACGGCGATGATGTCCGTGGCGTACGCAGATCCAGAGCCGACACCCGCCATGATAGTGATCAGGACGTGCTCCTTGATGGTGAAAGGACCGGGGTTGAGCTCGACGCCGAAGATACGGAAATTCGGCACAAGACGAGCCCAGAGACGACCGAGCGGGAACGTCAGCAACTGGGCGACCATCTACGAGAAGAGCGCGGCGTCAGTCCAGGAATGGGAAGTGGAAGCGGGGACAACGCACGCTGCTGACGGTGACACTGGGGTAGCGGAAGAAGAAGAACTGGTTCAGGCCGGGGATGATGATGGCCCAGATGAGGCCAAGCGTCCATGCCCGGACCGTGGAGACGGGGACAGTGGGGTCGTCAGTGTTGGCGACGGCGGACCGCACCTCGGGGTAGGGGGAGTCGTCCTCAAGGACACCGGCGATGGCGGCATCCTTGTCCAAGTTCGGGTCGTCGAACTCGGGGAGCGCAGCGGCCTCAAGGGCGGCGGCCTCGTCGGAGGTCACGCCCTTCTCAGCGTCGTGCACGTCCGCAGGGGACGCAAACTTCTCGTCTTCGTGGCTGGACATGCTTTGCGATAGTCGACGTCGGGAGGGCGGACGGACGGACGCGAGAAGCGGAAGCAGAGCAAGGGGGGTCCTTGGGGCTTGAGTTCCAGGCCTCGCGAGTGGCTGCTTCTTGTATGTCTCGTGGACATGTGGAGAGGCCAGATCTGACAGCCCGCACCGAGGGATCACAAGAACCACACTGGAAGGTCCATATGCAACCTCCCAGGAACCGAGCGCCGGGGTTTGATTCGTAGATAACGGTTAATACCCCCAATTCGAATGTCCATCGTTGATCCGTGACTCTGTTGCGCGTTGAACCGGCTCGATGACCGTCGATGCGCCTCTGGCTCCCGACAAAATCCCCGCCGATGCGCGAGCGCGAATTTTTGCAGGCTCAATCAGAGGCAAAAGAAGCAGCTGTCCTTCTAAATCGGGCGATATCGGACAAGCTCTGTTTCCCACGGGTCGGCTGCTGTGAGATAAGCACCGGCTCCATCCTCTATGAGCGGGCGCTCCACCGCTCATCGCTGACTCCTACAGTCATGAATGAGGCCATCCCGAGCTGAGGAGACACCGAAAACGGGACCCTAAAGTGAGTCGTGCGACCACATGCCATGGGAGATAAGGGGGCTCGCGCCAGTCAACTGATGACATGTTTCGATCCGCTTCACGGCCGTTTTCTGCCAAAAGCCAAGGATCTATTTTCGAAGTGGCGAGTTCATGGGATTTTCTATTGGGCAGCACATGGCGGAAACAGGGCCCGTTGCCTACCTATCTCGCGCCGCATGTGCCGGTGGATATTCTCCTGGCCCCCGCCTGTCGTCGCGCGCCGCTGTAGCGCAGATACTGCTCTTAGCGGTGGCAGACGACAGTGATGGGATCCGATGCGCGTGGGACCCAAGTGTCGGTGGCATTCCTCGAGCAGTGGCTGCCTTCTCAGCAGATCTTCTCCTGCTTCCCCAATTCGGGGTTTCTGGGAACACGACGAGTCAGGCATCGAGCACCAGGTGAGCCCGGTATCAGGCCAGGCCAGACCGCTATTCTCCCGAAGGCTGGGACACGTCAGCGGCGGCTAGTGTGAGACGAGAGATGCCCATCCTGTCCATTTGTGTCGTCCCTTATCATTCAGATTGGGATATGTTTATGTATGTCCCGCTGCACATGCGATACGGCCATCCAGACATGACGAGCCCGGTTTCGACCTGCGCACAATTCAGTTGGTGCACACGAAGCTCCACGGATCTCTGCTATGCATGGGATAACAGTCTGGACCGCGACGGCAAACGAGTCAAGCTATTGAACATTGACGGGATGATGTGAACGTCCTTTTTAGGTCTCTTCCGCAGCCAGTACGCACTCCCAAGCAATCACGTCTTTATGCAAGATCCTTGTGCATGCACCGCCCGTGCCTTGGTCCCCTCGAGGAAGCACCTAAGAAGCAGCGAAATCAGACTTGGGCCATGATCACCAGCCGTGCTTCTTCTTTCATTGTTCTGTGTTGGCATTTTGGCATCAGCATCTCTCCAAACGCCGCCCTCTGTCTGATTGAACCTGAGACTATCACCGTCCAAGTCTAGCTTGCAAGCTGGACCCCGCGCATCACCGGGACCTTTCCAGCACGTGACTGAACGCGTCGCGTCCTACCGGCAAGCACGAACAAAGCGCGCTGAATGGTCGCGCGTATGACGCACATCTGGTGGCCGTGAGTGTGATGAAGCAGTACATGCGTGCTCGAAGCTTGTGCACCAATGCTGCGGACACAGATATCAACATGTGACGCGCCCCGTGACCAGCCCGAGCCTTTTTTGAGTTGCGTTTGCCCACCGACCCTCGCCGATTCACTTTCTGCGGATCTCTGACTTCTATTTCCCAAGCCGTGGTCTTGGTTTATTAGATGGAACTCTCTCCCGGAGTCCTTACCTCACCGTCGATCCGTATCGAGCCGATTACAGGATCAGGTCGCAACCCGCGCAACTGAAGAGCGGACTGGGGCTCCCGATTCCACACTGTGGGCTAGTTGTCAGCTTGATAACAGCAGAGCAGCGGCCCATCAGCTACATAGTGCGCTTGATAATAATGCCTGACACTAGTGCGACATTCATGCTAATGGATCAGATCGCAACCACAACCCAGGGAGTTTTGACTCCAATACTTACTTGCAATTGACCGCGAATACGTAGACTGGCCGAGGGTTTCACGACTGACGGCAGCCTGGGCGAGGCACGGCGATTCGCTCCTCGCGATTGAATGCTGGCTCAGCTATCCCCGTTGCCCTATAAATGAAGACACGCGGAGGCCAGCACGGTGTGCATCCAGCCAGGCTCAACACGTGCCAGTAAGTCTATGAACCTCTGCCCTCCCCTAATTGCAACCGTATATCTTAACTCAGACCCGCAATTGAGCCTCACTAGAGTCCTCCCATGCTTCTTCTGCCCGTGTCCTGCATCGCATCTCTCCCGCCGGAGATCCTCGCGCTGGTGTTCGAAACCGCGGTCGGAGATCACGCAAGATGCAGCCTTCCAGTCGGGCTATCTGCCGTCTGCTGGCGCTGGAGAATCGTCGCGCTTTCTACCCCGAGGATCTGGAACACGATCTTCATATCCCGACCCTTTCACATCGTCCGCGCGATGCATTTCCTCCCGCGATCTCAATCCCTCCCGTTCCATCTGCACCTTGATACGCGCTCTTGGGGCGCGAAAATCGAGATATCTGATACATTGCGTTTCCTCGAAGAAGATATGCATCGCTGCAATTCGATGACTCTGCATCTCACGGACGGACAACTCCAAAAATGGAATAGCACTCCATTCGGCTTGTCCCGCTTGCAGAATGCGGACCTCCGAATTCATTCGTATGCGCCGGACGAGCTCTGGGGACCCCCGCATTCCTTGGATCTGTTTTTAGAATCTCTCCCGCGTGTCAGCTATCTCCGGCTCTCGACGAGCTTGCCCGTCGCCGCAGCCTCCTGTCTGCTGCATCTCAGAGCCCTGGATGTCAACTGCGCATGGGCGCGCACATCGCCTGGTGGATCTGCACCCTCGCTCTTCCGCCAGCTCGAGCAGTACGCGCCGGGCATCGAGGAGCTGATTCTTCGTGGCTACTCTGGGTATAATGATTTCCCGTTGACGGCCCTGGATGTCCGCCGCCGCAGTACACTGCCCTGTCTCAAGTCTCTCGTCCTAAATTTCCGCGACGCCTTCCTGCTGGACGGGGTCATCATCCTCGCACAGACTCTCCTCGCGCCCACGCTGCGCCAGCTGCTTATTCGGCTTCCCTCGGCCGACGATGATATGTACCCGAGATCTGGCTCCCTCCTCTGGCGTGCGCTGCTTGTGGAGTTTGCCGCCGCTAGTGCCGCCCATTTTCTCGAGGATCAGGAGGGCCTCGGGACCAGCTCGTTTCCCGGGCTACGGGGATTTTTCATAGCCGGAGACATGGGTGTGCAGGTTGATTTGTGCATCGGCCGACGGGCGCCAGACGTCCAGCCGCTGCTCGAAGACGGTCATGCGAAAATGGACTGGTTCCTGGATTCTGAACGACTGGACGCGGATGTCAGCGGGGACATCAAGGACGAGGTGTTCGACACCCGTCTGCGACATCGATGCTCCGATTTCTGTCTCATTCCAGGGCACAATTCGAGTCCGTGGGCGTAATCACCTCATAACACTCACCACATTACAATAGATGCCATTAGATACTAGATTGGATGGGACGGCGTGCCTCAGGACCTGGTGTGAGAAAAGAAACTGGAGCTCTCGACAAGCGCCAAGTCGCACAAAATGCTAAAACCGTCGACTTTCCGTTCCTGGCGTGAATATGAAGACACCATCCGTCCTCTCGCCCGCCGAAACGGGTGCTGTCGCGCCAGAATTTACGTCGATGACTGGAATTGGTTTTCCCGGCTTTGGCAGCTCGGTGTCAGAGCGTCAGTGCTCGACTGTTCCCTTCACTGAGCCAGCCGAGCAGATGCTACTAGAAAATGTCACTTACTTCCTGTAAACGACATTCGCACTCAGAATCATGCGAGTAGAAGGGGCATCTGTCTTGGCCTGCCAGCAGATTTTCTATACCAAGGTTGAGTGAATCCAGTTGATCCCTGAGAGAAACGTGCCGTGAGTTCGATGCTTTGTGACTCATTCGGGGTTTTCCCTTGAATCTAGACTCTTCTCTAACCTCATTTGCTGCTTAACAGGCGTTTTTAGGCATTGGAAGTTAGAGGTTGAAACATCGTGGGAACCGGCACGTGTGCGGCGTGATCAGACAACGATGGATACTGCTCCCTGTTTCCGTGTGAAGCCACTCAAGAGCGTTGAGGATCCGTGTGCGGCTCACACTCTCGAGGAAAGCTTCAACCTTAATCCGCTCGCACTCTCTCTGTGCCTGGCAACCTCAGGCGTAGAGTGTCCCCAGTCGACAGGGGTTGTCTGCCAGTGCGGGGCCTGGACGCCAGCCCTCTCGTGCTCTGAAAGCATCACTCAGAACGCGTCGAGTAGTCTCAATGATCCGATTGGGCTTGCACCCGAGCTGCTCGTCGTCGCTCGTGCTACCTTCGCGCTACTGAAAAGTTAGCCTCTCGGAGCGTTGCCCCATTGACCATGGACCCGCTTCTGAGTCCGGCCGACTCCATGGTGCACGGCTGTCCGATACGCTCCGCGGTCCATCTCCATGGCATCCTTGGATCACCAGCCGGATCTACTCTCGAGTGCTAGCGATCAGAGGAGGGAGAAACACTTGGAGGAGGGCCCAGCAGTGCGCCAGAACAACCGGCCTTCAAATTCATGCGTTGGCACTCCTTCTCGCGCTTCACTGGGACGCCGTGCACGAGTTCTAGGGAAGAGCATGGCGTCCCAGGAGTGACGAAGCGCTCCTACGAAGCGGTCTCCTTCGAAACGGCGCGTCTTTTTGCTCGCGAGACGCTAAACAACCGTGACGGACGCAGTTCTGGAAAATCCAGGGCCTGCTGCTATTCGCGTCGCGCTCGCTGTGACACGATGAGTCAAACAGGCTTCGATCTTCTCGCATCAGCCCATGGGCTTCGCTCCGTTTCATTCCCCGCATCATTTGGCCATTCCACGGACTTGAGGCGAAGGCTTCCAGACGCGTACGCCTCACTCCCTGCCTCCCTGGTCGGGCCTGAGCGCTATTTTGGCTTTGACCAAATCGTGTATCTCGTTCTTCATTGCACACCATGTCCCATCCGACACGCGGTGCCGCAGTAAATTCGGTTCGACTTCTCATTTGGGCGCGGAAATGGAAGATGGCTCGATCAAGCGGCGGCTGTTTTCCGCCACTTACGGTATGTACTTCTGGTATTTAAGAATACCAGACGCGACCTGTTTTCTGTGTGTGTTCTTTTGCTTGCCGCCCCAGCTCTCTCTCATTCGACATCCCACCAGCAATGCCGTTTCCGTCGTTCCTCCATCACGACAAGCAGCCCGCTCGAGGAGCGTCTCTTCTCCGACGGTTCAATGGATTGTACAAACCGCCTCCGACATTGGGGTCTCTGCTGGCTCCCAAGACGTCGAAGAAGATGGGAAAGCAGTCCTCCACGCTGTTTGAGCTTGCGCAACCAGTGTGCATATCACTTGCCCCCCGAAGTGAGCCGATTCCATGCGTTCTCTTCACCGACCAACACACACCACTAGCCTCACAAGACTCGTCGATCTATGAATCCTCATCGAGCAGCTCGCATTCCGACGCGAGTTCATCTCGCCAAACACTGGAATTGGCCCGACCCGTTTCGGAAACTTCTGCCCCTCCAGAGGCATGTGCATCGCCGCAGCGCGCGCAGATGAGGCCCCTGCGTCCGGCGCTCAAACAGGGAAGTGGCAGATTCAAGTCTTCTTCGCAACGCGCCAGTACGCAAGGCACGTCGATCTCCTTCCTCTTTCGTCCCAGTTGAGCTGACCTGTTCCGTGCAGACCTGCACGTGTCGTTCCTGCTCCCCTCTCGGCCTGACCAAGACGACGAGCCTTCCGCACTATCGTTTCACACCCTTTTCGCATACACGCATCTAGATCATGCCCCCCTCTCCTACGACATCGCCTTCCCTCCCTCCAAGCAGACGATCCTGCGCCGAGGTGCACGGGACCCGATCCCCATCGAGGTGCTGGACGAGCCCGCGACGGAGCCACCCATGTACACCGAGCTGGTGCTGCACTGCGCGCACTTCCCGTGGGACATCGTCGTCCACCCGCACACCGCCATCGAGGCGCCCGCGTCGCGCCGGTGCGGGCCGCGCATGCCCCCTCGGCGGCGCAAGACCCCCATCACGAACCTCGACATCGTGTGTGCCGTGCACGACGCGCTGTCGGGGCGCGCCTCGGGCGACGAGTGGGGCCGGCTCTCGACTAAGGTGCAGCGGCGCATATCCCGCTCGTACGAGGCGCGGTGCGTGCAGACCGGCGGCGGATGGGATGCCGGGGTGCGCAAGATCGACTGGCTCGAGGGCAGGACGCGGCTGGTGGGCATCGAGATGGTGCCGGTGAAAAACTCGGGGCAGCCGCGGGCGATGCTTGTGTTCAAGACCCCTGCTGCATGAATTGAATTGGACTGGCGAGGCCCGGAGTCTCGTTCAGGCCGTGAAAGCTAAACACCCTCTTGTACATATATCCGAACTCTTTCGCAGTCGACGCCTTTACATGTTACATTGTTGTACATACGCCCATTGACTATCCTCAACTGTAGAACACCCACTCGCACTGTATATACTGTAGATGACCATGCTTTGCCCTCGAATGAAATTGTTGTATTCTACCCAGTCACGCTATCCCCAAACGTTAAGCCAAACTCTGATTCAGTTGTGTGACTACGAGCGAGACACACCACTCCCGTGAAGAGCGGAGGCGACTCAGACATGTCGTGACTGCGAGGCTCGCGCACGGATGCTTCGCTGCCCACTCCTTGCAACGCGCAGATGCGAGCCCCAACTCGCGTCCCACACGTCGATTGGCGTGACAGAAACGATCATCGTCCCTGCTGCACGGAGGAACATGTCAGCATTTATGCTTTTGCGCTCGCACCCAGACCGCAAAGGTGCCTGGCGAAGCCCACGAGCGAACAAGTCTCACACAAGCTCTAGCGTTCCGAATCCGAGTCCGCTGGGAGAGTAGCGTGGGTGGGTCCATGGCGGCTCCGAAAGCCAGATTGATCACCGGAGTCGGGTTTCGCAGCTGTTCGCTGCGTCGGCGTGCCGTATACTTCGGGTCTGGGAGGTGGGGCCCCGGGGAGTGTGGGAGTCTATGAGTTTCTGTAGGGACTGGGCCCGTTGGTAATAGAGCTGTAATACAAGTCGGACACTTACTCCACCGTGCTTTGACGTGCCTATTAACCTTGTGGCCTTGGTTCGTAGTTCTTGGAGTTTTCCGTTGACTCAACGCACTCCAATGCATCAAGTAGCTTTCGGCACAAGACGCGCGTCATCAGTTATGATGCATGTATGCATGTCGTCACGTGTCCGCGTTTGATGCAACTTATTTCTTCGATCCCACCTCATCTTATCGGATTCTGCAGTCCCACGGGCTGGTCCCTTAGCCCGTTTCATGTAAGACACTGCTTCTCACAAGGCTCTAGCTCTCGATCCCCGCGGACGCTATCGACTGCCACCCACGCGGCACGGACTGCAGATAGCGATGTAGCACACACGCCACGCATCGTGGCAATCCGAGTGCCTGCCCTGCCCCCTACCAGCTCACAAACTCCGGATAATGTATTGGATCTACAATCAGTTGCACAGCAGAAGCTGCGTGCGCGGGAGTTATTTCCGCTGCGTCATAATCGGGTAATTTGATCATTCCCGCTTTATTCGAAGACACCGCACGAGCGGATCGAGGGAGAAGGGCGAAGGAGAGAAGCGGCGCAGGGCGCGGGACTGGTGCGGATTGATCTCGAATTCACACACCATGCACTGTCGAGATCTGCTAGAGAACGAACAGATGTTTCTGTGCTTGGAGACATAGGATGGAAGGGGGGAAACTAGTTCGACTTTACAATGTCAGACTCAAGTCTATCGGCGTCCTTATCATATGTGCCGTCGTTCGATCACCGTCTCTCCAGTCAACGCCGCTCGAGCATAGACGCCTAGTCGATTCCGTTGCGCAGCTAGGCTACTGATCGCTTGCATCTCCGAGTTCTGGTCGATGTGCTTGAGTAATCATCTCATCGATGTCTCGCACACTACTCACCACACGCCCATTGACAACATTAAGCCACATCTGGTCTGATTCCGCCAACAGTCGGCGTTCCTCTGGGTCACCCGCGAAGGTATCCTGGAGCTCCTTGAGCTTGACGGCCATGTTGTCTGGGAGACTCCAGTGCAGCCGGACATTGCCCCGCTGGATGTTCTTGAGCTTGAGGAATAAGTGCCGCGAGTCGTGGAAGCTCAGACACGATCCTCGCTCGATCAACCAGCCCTCTTGGTGCTCGAGGAGGACCTGCCATAGGAGACGTCAATGCTGTGAGACAGGGCAGGAATCAGGCTAGAAGTGGCCTACCTTGATAAGTGGATGCTCCTCCGTCCAGTCTTCAGCATTCTCGTCCGGCTGAATCGCAAATCCACCCGCAAGCAACCAGATGCAAGTGTTGCCCTTGCCAAACAACACGCCCGTCAGCCCGTTGTCCAGCTGCGACGCCCCAATCTCCGCCCTCGCCGCGGACAGCTGGTCCACGTAGATCTGTGGCAGCACAGCGCTCCACTGCCCGCTGGCCTTGCCCTTGACGAAGAAGTGGCCGGGGTCGCCGCTGGACGGGAACGTGACGAAGTCGGCGGCGAACTTGCTGTTCGTCCCCGCGAGGTGGGCGCGGACCGTCGGATCGATCGTCGAGCTGAAGTGGTCTGCGCAGCGGGTCATCTCCCCGAGAGCACTCGAGTACTACTACGAAGGCGGCGTACATTTGGCGGTCGCGACGTTGTGCGTGACCCACGTATCCGGCGCACTGCCCATGCTAGCGAGATCTCAGCACCATCACGAATGAGCGGAGGGGGCGCAGGCCCGCACCTGATCCACAGCGTCATGCTGATGTTCATCTCATTCTGGACGTGACGGAGCAGCTGGTCGGGGATGTTCTCCGAGACGAATCGGCGTCCGTGCGCGATGAGATACGAGTCCGGGGAGGCTCCGAACACGATGTGGGTGCTGGGGTTTCCGGCCATGGATCAGAGGGAGAGCGAGTCGATTCGGCATGAGTCAAGTTTTTGAAGAGGTCAGGAACGGGGGTGAAGTGCGATTTGAGCTGGACAGGCGTGAAGCAGTTGTCAAGCCACATAGGCTAGCCAAGAGAGGATTGCAACCATCTAGAGGTTAGATGATCAGACGACAACATACAACTAAGCACTAGTCCATTTGAGGATCTTGAGGAGATTGGTAATCAGAGCTCAGCGGTACTCATAGGGGAAGCCTTTCACGTGATCACGGACCGGGAGGTCAATCATAATGATAATGGATAATGGTATGGTGTATCTAAATCGTGAATGAAGCAAGGTGAAGAGGCAAGTCGGGTTCCAACAGGCAGAGATCATCTCCGTAGAGCAGACGCATACGACAACCGGGGAGTGGCAATGGGTTTATCTGGGGGGTGAGCGTTTCCTTCATACAGCTCTTCCCATTCGTCAGCCGTGTACTCTCCTTCTGGGATCTCCCAAAGCTCGCTTTGGACCTCCCATCCTTCGCTGTGGGCATCCCACTCCTCCCAGAGCTCGCTCTCAGCATATACTGATACAGCATCATCCTCCACGACATTCACCGCACGATGCTTCTTGCCACCTGGGGGGACGGGTTGTCAGAATTGCGACACCAGAGCTCTGGAGGACGGAGACTGAGATTCACCCCGTGGTTTCGCGGGTCGCGCAATGTCGAGCAGCGACACGACCATGGGCTGGGGCAGCGAGCCCTCCGCCCGTTTCCCATCTGCGACACCGGCCGCCCATTCAGGAGCGCCGTCGTCTTCCAAGTCCGACGACACCTCCTCGCCGTCCACCTGGGGCGGGGAGACGAACGAGTCGCCGTTCCAGCGCATGCCGTCCATGCGCCCCGGGTTGCGGCGCCCGGCATCGGGGTACTCGATCTTCTTGCCGTCTTCGGCGGCGCGCGCCTTCTGTGCGAGGATGGCGGCGCGGAAGGACTGGCCTTGTGATTTGGCTTGGGCGCGGAATGCCTGCCGGATAGGAGTCAGCCCGCGTGCAGGGACTCGTAGCCGATGTGAGAGAGCGCACCTTGCGCACTACTCGCGGAGAGTTTTCAGAAAGAGCTGAGCGCGTCATTGGGGAGTCACGGAAAGCGTTGTAGTTGTGGTATGGGTGTGTGAGGGAAGAGGCAGAGACATAGCCTTATATAGCGAGTGGCGATTACGGGTCCGTGCGGTACATGGCCAGATTCGAGTCATGTTAACGTTCTTGTTAGTGGATGAGATAATGCCAAGTGTCAAGCTGAGTCAAAGTCAATGCGACTTGTTGAGTGGCTGTGCTGTTTCGGAAGCGGGTATCACGGAGAGTCACATCACGCATGAGACAAAGACCCTGACGGACACGACATTATCCCAGTGCTACTAGACAGAGAATCGACGAATGTTCATTTTGGGGATATTGCAATCACCCATTGATACGCTCATATGAACTATCATCCGCAATCAAGGCAATAAGAGTCGCGTCGCCTCATAGTGCAAATGGTAGATTGACATGCAAGACGCAGTGAGGTTGGACCCTCAGCACGAACGTCAGCTCTCGCGCTATTCACGGTGCTCGCACTTGCGGCCATGGACGTAGCACCAACTGCATAAAGCATGAGCACTGGCACGCAGGCTCCGAACGCGGGGGAATCGCTCTCACTGGCACGACGTGACATGGGGCACAGAAGATGGTTTGCAGTGGAGCCGGTGCTTGCGACAGTCCGCGCACGCGAGCGCCGAACGGAGAATCGTGTTTGGCCGGTCCCTCCGCGACAGAAGCTGAAGGGATCCTGCGTGCGGGGCTGATGGGGAGCCCAGGGTCGAGGATCGTCCTTCTCTACCTCCTCCTCCTCCTACCCCGCTATTGCGCGGATCACGATACTCCTGAGCTTGGAGTTGGTGACCAGATTCGGCTTGAGGATTCAGAGGCGATATTGGGTATCGACCAGCTGGTGATCTACCACCAGCCCCTCCGTCAGGCAGCACGGTGTTCAGAAGACGAGAATCGGGCTGGTAGCTGTCGACGGACGGGCTAGGCGGAGATCTCTTGTGCAACGGGGCCGGATCATAGCGAGACGGTCGGCGTTGAGGGGGGACAGATTCTCGAGGGTCGGATCCAGCTCCGAGTAGCGAACACCGCGTAACAGGCGGATTGCTGTCCCACTGATCGAGGATTGCAGTCAGAACCCCTGCGTTGTCAATTGAACAACGCACGAAGAAAGCCGGATTCGGAGGTAGGTAGTCGCTACTTGAAGAGTAGCGTGCTCGGAAATGTCCGACTTGGGATGTATCGCTAACGCTGCCTAGTACCGCCTCGTCCGAAGGTCCGCCGAAAACGAGAGCAAGTTCGGGGGCACGGATTTGGCATGGCTTGGAGGG